TTCGAGTGACAAGTTCATTTTGACACAAGATACGAAATAATTAACCCATATCCTTCAATAATCTACAATATAGTTATTATAAACTATATTTTAATTGAAGAAGCTTATTTTAATGCCTTTTAATTTTCTGTGAAGTTATTATTAATTTCATCTGGGTCCATTAAATTTTATACACACATTCAGAAAAAAATTTGTTTAACTAACAAACAAATTTTTGTTGAATCAACCAAATAAATGTATTGCTGTATACATTTAATCAAATTTTTGGTTAAATGAATCAATTGTTTTTGAAACGCATGAATAATGCCTAAAATTAATTTGTGAGAAGTTTTATTTGATTTTAAAATTTCAATATAGGTAACGCGCTCTGAAGAAAGGGACCTTAGAAGAAAAAAATTATAGGTTATGTTTTGAAATTTGTAAGTGCGAAAATACTCAAAGAGGATCAACACTAAACACAAATTATTGATATTTACATCGATAAAAAAAATTTATTTGATTCAAAGAAAATTTATTTGTTTCAAAGAAATTATCTTTAATTCAAAAAATGATTATCTTCGTTTTAAAGAAATTTGTTATTTAATTCAAATAAATGTTTCTTTGACCCTACATCAATGTTAAAATTTCTTTTATTTCATGTATACAAATTTCTTTCATTCAAAGATCATTTTTTTGAATCAAAAAAATTTTATTTGAAATTAAGAAGTTTATTTTTGTTTCAAAGAAAATTTTATTTTGAATCAAAGAAAACAAGTCAATGAAACTGGTTTCTTTAAATCAAAGAAATCTTTTCTCTAAGTGTAAGTCTTCATTATATCTAAAATATTTAATAAGATTTCAATTTTACATAAATAAAAATGAACTTTTAATCAAGGTAAAACTACCGTAAACATAACCTACACTGTAAAAAATATTTCTTGTAACATTACCACTTTCTACGTAGGTCCAAAATCTTACCTACTGTGAAAGTGGCATAAGTACATAAAACAGTATAACAGCATCTAGAATGGGGAATTTTACTTTTAGAATTTGTAAATTTACATCTCGTAGTGTAAAAGTACACCACACGGTAATTTTAAATATTATACACTGAAAAAAAATCATGGTAAATTTGACTAAATTTTAACTATTTCTCCTAGTTCTAGGAGGCGCCTATTAACAAAAAGTAGTTGAGACAACTATGTAAAAACGGTTAAATCAACTGTAAAATTTAGAAAAAAAAACTATTCAAAGTAGTAAAATTATTATTATTAATACTAGTATTGAGATCCATTTTTTCACCCTCTCCCCTACTACTTTCGTTTATATATGCCTTATGTTATTTAATTTTTGTATACCTAACAGAGAAAAATCCCTAAACGCTGGGGATTGAACGCACGACCCTAACATTCGCAAGCCGACAACTTAACCATCTAACCACGCACGCACGCTAAGATGGCTTGCATGATATTTGAGGACATTCTTTCAACTATACAAATTATAAAAATAACTATTTTTAATACTTATTTTAATTACATAAAACAGTAAGTCTAATGGTTTTACTGCATCTAGGAAGAAATGGTTTCTTCACACGGAGAGACCGCCAGTTGGAAAAATTACTAAAAAAATTTACAAGTAGCGGAAATAAGGTTACATTGTCAAATATTGCTGTAGGAAATCGAAAATTCTACTAGCAGCATACTTAATAAAACCTGTAGACTATAGTAAAATTGTACACAAATTGGAATAGAAATTACTATAGTCTACAGTTTTATTAAGTATGCTGTATGACAAAGTAACCTTATTTCCGCTACTTGTAAATCTTTTTAGTAATTTTTCCAACCGGCGGTCTCTCCGTGCAACTACATAAATCATAAAAATAACTATTTTCAACACTTATTTTAACTACATGAAAACAGTAAATCAAATTTTTTTCTGCAACTAATAAGAAATGTTTCTTTCACCTACACGCAAATCCTAAAAATAACAATTTCTAACAGTAGTTTTAACTATTAATATGTTGTAAAGCCATTTAAAATCACATGACAGTTATTTCAACTACAAATATTAGTAATTTTGACTAGGTGAAATTGACTACTAAAATTTAGTACCACCAAATGTCTGAGTTTAGTTTAAATGGTTCTGAATATGGTACTTTTAACTGCTTTTTTTAACTACATATTTTCAGTCATTTTTACCAATGCTATTTTTTGTGTGCAATCGTAATAAAAATATTTTAATTGCCATTTATTTTTATATTATAGAATTATTACTTTTCTTCATTATTATTTGAGTTACAATATATAATATTAATATATTAATATGTGTGTGACGAGATAAAAAGGAATATATTGAGCAAAAAATTTTAGGTTACATTGCGTTTCATATCAGGTCACATAAATATATATATATATATATATTATATTAATAATATTATTAAAAAACGAAAAGTAATTCACAACACCTAAGTATATTATCATAACTATTACTTTTAAAGTGACAAATGAGTATATTTACTTTTATATGCAAAAGTGAGAAAATTGTATTTGTTTCATTTTCAAAGTTGAAAAACTACTGGGTTTTTTAAATTGACTATTTTGAGTGGGTTTATTTAATTTTTAAAAATGTAAATTTGCACAAAAAAATATAACATCACAATTTTGTGTACTTGTACATTATAGAGTACTTTTGTCGCTTTCAAAGAGGGTCCATTTTTTTACCTACTTGGAAACTCACACAAAAGCAATTTAAGCTTGTACTATTACAACGTTCTGTTTTTTTACCACTACGAAAATTGTAAAGTTACAAGTTCGATTGTATTTCTAAATTTAAAAAGTGTATAAATATCTCACAGAAAATAGTAAAATTACATAAATTCTAAACTGTAATTTTACTATTTCAAAATGTAAATTTTTTTTATTTTTTACAGTGTATATAATTCGTTTGTTTCTATAAGGTCCCTTTCTTCAGTGCGCGTCACAATAGAATTATATGTTAGACGAATTATTTTTGACATGAATTTTCATTATATCAATTTTCTATAATACAACATTTTTATATAATCAAACATTTACTTCGCAGAATTTGTATTTGTTTAAATTATAACATTCGACCAGAAACATTTCAGCGCGAATTTTAAAATTAATAAATCAAAATTTTCTATTCAATTTCTGATTATGGTTAATAATTTTATTTTATTAATTAAATAAAAAATTAAAAATAATTGAGATGAAATAAATATTTATTTGTATCAAACAAATTTTGTTTGGAATAACCAAAAAAATTGTGTTAATACCAAAAAATGGTATATATTTGGTACAAAAGAAAACTTTTTTCTGAGTGCATTTATATAGGTAATACGAAGAAGACAATGCATTCGTATATATAAATTTATTTCCCTTATTTGTCCGCACAATTTTATAATGAAAAAAAAAAAAATTAAAAGGCAATATTAAAAACACATAATATTCGCAAAGGATAGTAATATTAAATTTCATCACGCCCTGCAAACTTTACATTGAATCTTCGATATTGATCTTATCAGTCTTTGTGCCCGAAGGGTTTAAATCTAATCCCTTCAAATCGTAAGCCGAGCGTAAACTATAGAAATCAATATATAGGACGGGAAAGTATATATTTCATTTGATTTTTTATTTTCACGAAATTATCAAATGTTAAAAGTGAATATCTGATAAATTTTTTTTTCATTATTTATAGTTATAACGGAAATATAATTTCTTCTTTTCTATAAAAGTTTCTGTTTTCTTATAAATTTTCTGTTTTTTAATTTTTTATATTTTAAAACGAATTTTTTCTCAAATTCTCTTAGTATACACTGATAAAAATAATATATTTGATTCAAATACTCGATTACTTGACTATGTATTATCAAATAAATATTTATTTGAGTCAATTAAATGGTATATTTGTTTCAAATACAGAAATTATTGGTTCAAATACAATTTATTTAACTCAAATAAACATTATTTGGTTTAAGTAAATATTTATTTGATAACAGTCAAGTAATCGAGTATTTGAATCAAGTAAATTTTTTTCACTATAAATATTTTTTTTAAATAATAAAATTTTATATTTATATGTATTATCCTTATTTACTTTTACAAAAATGGTCAAAAATTAACATTTTTTTCCGCAAATTTCTATTTTATTTTGAAAATTTCTAAAATTATCATAACTATTCTTGCAAAATTTTCTTTTATTTTGAGATCGAATTTCTAATTTTTTGTGAATTTCCAAAATTTTGCTATTTTACTTTCAATTTCTTTAACTTTTTATATATTCTTAAATTTTTAATTTCTTTTTTAGACAAATTTTCATTTTTCGAATTATCATTTGACAGAATTTCTTTGTATACACTAATGTTTGTTTAACAAAATTTTTAGCTACCAAATTTTAATTTGTCCGAATTTTTTCTTTTTTTAACAAATTTTTAAGACGCCGAATTTTCATTTATCTGCAATTACAAATGTTTGAACAAACAATCGATACAAAAATTTCGCCGAAATCTTTGTGTCGATTGTTTGTTCCAACATTTATAATTTCGGACAAATGAAAATTCGGACTAATTAAAATTCAGTAGATAAAAATTTTGTTAAGTAAAAATTCGTATGAAAAGAAATTATCTGTCTATAATGCTAATTTGATCGGAAAATGGAAATTTGACTTTAAAAAAATTATTTTCAATAAAATATTGTAAAATAAAAATTGTAATTAATTATTTTTATGGCGAATTCATGCGCCCCTAAAAATTATTAAATAAATATTTATATAATATATAAAAAATTATATAGGTACTTTATCTAATAAAATTTTTTGGATTTAAAAATTTATGAAATATGTATATATATATATATTTATTTATAAATATATTGATTTATATATACTGATAATTTCATATATTTTTCAGCGTATAATTATATAAGTTTGTTAGAGGGTAAATAAGCGAGAGGAATTATAATTAAATTGTCCAATTTGTTAGAAAAGAGAATCAAAGTACTTACCGTCCTTGTTCATGCGAGCTTCAAAACACTTCTTCAGGCGACAAGCACGACACTGATTTCTGTGAGTTTTGTCAATGGGACATCGCCCTTTCAATGATCCTTGAGCCTTGCAGGTATACTCTCGATTACTGTGAATGCTTCTTTTAAAAAATCCTGAACAACCTGCATTCAAACAAATTAAATACAATTAAATAATAAATATTTTTCTTGCATATATAATTTCTAATTAATTTATAAAGTAAAAAATAATTTATATTTTTTTCTCAAAGACATTAATATTCAATATTAATTTAAATAAAATAAAAGTCTTAATTAAAAAAAAAAAAAAAAAATTTCTCCAGATCCAGTTGACAAATTTAAAAACAAAACAATAATTTTTCTCATCTTGGAACGTATATATAGTATTCAAAAATAATTTTTGTTTAAAAATATTTTTATTTTAAACAGTTTTTTAATTTTTTTATAAAATATGTTAATAAAAAATGTGTTTTATATTCTGTATACATTTCTCAGTATAAAACCATTGTGAAAAAAATGATACTCATTTAGAAAAACGATGTTTAATAATAATTAAAAACAATAACAATAATAATTATTATTTATTACTATAAATAATAATTACGTGTAATGAGAAGTATGAATTTGAATGCGAAACAATTTAATAAACTTTTTAAATTAACAATTTTTTTAAAACAAAAATCATGTAAATAATAATAATAATAACACAGCCACACAAAAAAAATGTTGGTTCTGACATGGAGGCCTCACTATGTCTACCTTATGTTATTGGGGTCGCTGAATTCCAATTCCTAAGTCCATTTAACCCCATCAGATCAGGGTTTTGACATAACCTTAAAAAACCAATATGGCGCAAACATTTTGGAAAAATTCATCGGCGTCGTTTGAAACTCGTTACTCGGGGGTTTTCGATACCGCTGATTACGAATTTGATGTCAGTTTTTAAAAATTCAAAATGGCGGATCCAGTATGGCGGACGCTTTTTTGAAAAACTTAACAGATTCGCTTGAAACTTGTTACTCGGGGGGTTTTTTTTTTGGGTCGCTGATTACGAATTTGATGTCAGTTTTTAAAAATTCAATACGACGAATCAATGTCGGACAAATTTTTCAAAAGAAGTTCCTATTTTTTTGAAACTTTGTATCTAAGAGTTTTTCTCTGGTCATTGATTACGAATACTATATCATACTTCAAAAATCTCACAACCTTAGTTAAATTAATATAAATATAAAGTCATTTTTTGAGGTTAGAAAAAAATCGGATCTAATTGGGGTAAATAGACATCGGATTTGGATTCAGCGACCCTGAAAACCCCCGAGTAACAAGTTTCAAGCGAATCTGTTAAGTTTTTCAAAAAAGCGTCCTCCATATTAGATCCGCCATTTTGAATTTTTAAAAACTGACATCAAATTCGTATCGAAAACCCCCGAGTATAACGAGTTTCAAACGACGCCGATGAATTTTTCCAAAATGTTTGCGCCATATTGGATTTTTAAGGTTATGTCAAAACCCTGATCTGATGGGGTTAAATGGACTTCGGATTCGAATTCAGCGATTCCAATAACATAAGGTAGACATAGTGAGGACTCCAGGTGAGAACCAACAATTTTTTTTTGTTTAGCTGTGTAATAGTAGATAATTAAAAAAAAAACTTGAAAAAAATTAAAATAAACTCAAAAATTTTGTATATATGTGTACTACTGAATTGATAGTAGATTAGAAAGATTTTGGTCAGACATCACAGTGCCTTTCACAAGTAGAAAAATCTCTAGAGTACGTAACAGTAGAATAGACAGATTATGGTCAGACATAAGTGATTTCAAAGCGTAAAAATCTTGAGAGTACTTGACGCATGTTGATAAATAATTTTAAATTGAAAATAAGAATTATTTTTTATTAACTATATTTAAAGTGACCTCAAAACAGGATACTTTTTAAATTTATTTAGTTAAAAATAATAAATTTAATAACCAAAAGTCAGATATACTGATTCAAATAATGTTTCTACTAATAATTTAGTTAAAAATAACTAATTATTAGTTAAATTCGCATTTAAATTATGTTAAAATAATTAATGTTAATTACTTCAATTATTCAAATTTTACCATTTTTTTCAGTTATTTTTTCACTGAAAATAAATCTGAAAAGTCATTTAAGATTTTACTAACAATTCAGTGGACAAAAAAACATATTCGTTCCAAAAAGTTTCTTAAAACGTTTTCAGAACGTTTCATGTAAAACATACTTTTTTGCCCACTTGGAGTTTGTTATTTTTAACTAATTCAGATTTAGAGAGTACATACCCAGAGAAAAATTCTATTTAAACCAAAAAAAATATATTTTATTTGAGTTAAATAAATGTATATTTGTCTCAGCACCAATTAGACTTTTTATTTCTTTTAAATAAATTTTATTTGTTTAAAAAAAAATTTATTTGACATAAATAAAACATATAATTTAGCCAAATAAAATTTATTTAAAACAAATAAAAAGTTTAATTGGTGCTGAGACAAATATATCTTTTCTCTGGGTGTAAAAAAAATATTAAAAAAAAAAATTTTTATTTAAAACTATTAAAAATTTCAATTGTTAATAACTTTAATAAAAAAAAAAATTTTAGTCTAATAATTTTACAAACTTATTTGGATTACACTAAGAGGAAAAAAAAATTATTTTACATTAAAAATTAAATTTTGTTTTTAAACGTTGTAAATTAAATGTGTCACATGCCCTGAAGAAGAAAAAAAAATCATCTTTCTTGTTTATTTTTCCATGCAAATTTGACTAAATTTATGCATTAGTATAAGTGATCTCTTTGGTACGGACTAGCGGATGACGTTACCGTCGCAGCTGTAGATACCGTAGTGTTTTCCTGAGCTACGGTCACCACATACATCGCACAGAATGTCCAAAAGCCTCTCTGCGGAAACGTAAGGTAAAATGCAAATTATTATTATTATTATTATTATTATTATTATTATTATTATTATTATTATTATAGTTTAAAAAAATCCACATAAAAGATATAATTTTATTTTTTTTACATAACCAGAATTTTTAAATTTGAAATTTTTGTCCTACTCTATAATTTGAATTAGTCACTTTTGATTATAAATTCAACTGTACCGATTTGTTCATTAAATGAATTATAGTAACCGTTTTTAACTAATTATTTGTCAAAAATCACTAATTAACTAATTCAGATTTAGAGTACACTGTAAAAAATGTCAGAGTAATTTTACAACGTTGGAATTTAGAAAAAAATAACCACCCGCACCACACTACAGAAGCACTTTCAGCACGTTGTAAATTTACAACGCATGAAACATCAGAGGACAATATAACCTAAAAGTTGTTTTTTTTATTTTGTAAATTTTCCACTTTTTATGTCTCTTTCAGTTAAATAAGTATATACTTTTTATGTAAAATACCATTTTATAATATTAAAATACAGAAATAAAACTCCAACATTTAATTGCTAGTAATTGCCCTTTGTATAATAATACAGTAAATTTAATACACACAGAATAAACTTTAAACTAAAAATGATCTCCGAATGATAAACGAAAAATAACTTTTTAGGTTAAAAACATGTATATATATTTTTTTTAAGTATGTTTTTAAAATTTAATATTTCATATATTTTATTTTACATTTTCATCATAAGTTTTAATAATTTATAAATTGAAAAAAATATTTTTTTCATTTGAACGTTCAGAACTTTTGGCTTAAGATTTACGATTAGAGATTTCATTCTGCGTTGGCCAAACATATAAAATAATTAAAAAAAATTTTTTATTTTGATTTTCCGAAATGCAAAAATCTGATTGGTTGTCCATTATCAATCAGATTGTGAACAACCAATTAGGTTTGTGTATTTCGGAAAATACAAAATAAAAATTTTTTTTACCATACGTGTAAAAACCAAAGCAGAATATAGAAACGTAACCGAAATCGTAATCGCAAACTCAACCGGCAAAATGAGTTAGAGAAGGATAGATAGATTGTTTGTCCTTCTCTATCTTATTCTTCCGGTTGCGTTTACGATTCACGATTCCGGTTACGTTTTTATTTTGCTCAGGCCTTAAATGCTGCATCAGGGGAAATCGTTCAAATCCGAATATTTTTGAATATTTATTAAAATATTAAAAAATAATTAATTTATTGATAATTAATTTTTTAATCCAAATGATTAAATTCAGGAAAACTGTGGCATTTTTATACCTAGAAATTTTTTATATTTAATTACATTTACCATGATGGCAAATTTTTAAATTTCTCATTCATATACATTAAAAAAAAGATTTGTTTTGATTCAAATAATCGGTTACTTGACTATTATCAACATTATCAAATAAATATTTATTTAATAACAGTCAAATAATCGAGTATTTAATTCAAATTTATTTCAGTGTAAATTTTTTTTCACTCTTCTGATTGTTGAGAAAAAAAGTGTAATACAAAAATACAATGAAAAAAAAAAAATATATATATATATATATATATATAGTAACAAAACGAGAAAATCTTTGAGATCATTGTTTTCATGCACTGTTTAAAAAAAAAATAAAATAAAAAGAAAGACATAAAACAAAACGAAAGATGGTTTAAAAGAACGCTAATCTGTTCTCTCCCTTTCATAGGAACCCTAATCGTCCTAATGATCCGCGGCAAGAAAAACAGTGCCGTGTCTAAGCCAACCAAAGCTTCATCCCCCTTTCATGGAGAGACAACTGCCAACCTCCAACTTCTCCAACCCTTAAACCTCACGCCAACTTAACCTAACCAGACCGACTCGGTTCTTCAAACCCTCAAGGGATTACCTTCATCCTCACCTACCTCTTTCCTTTGCCTTATCGCGCGCGTAATTTTCCCTAAAACGTCAAAATTTCCTCAAGAGAATCTTGCTATATGTACTTACACTGAATCTTTAAATTTCTCTTTGGTTTCAATTTAACACTCTTATTATATGTAATTTCTGTATCTGTGACTTGGTTATTCCGTTCAAGCAAATAAAATTTCCCTTTAAATATTCAGATTATTTTACTTATAAAATAGAATTTTTGTTCTTTTTTAAAAAATTGTTAATAAAACTTAAGAACTGTTTATAGTTTCAGAAAAATTAAAAACTTAAAATAAAGTTAAATTTGTTTTATTTTTGAACATTGTTTTTTTAATTCTACACACAAAAAGAAAGTGTTTTTGTATTAAGAGGAGATTAAGAGGAGATTTTTTTTTCATTTTTGGTTAGTATAACTATTTAAGAACACGGAAAAATTAGTCTAAAGTATTTCCAAGGTCTAGAACTGATATAAATTGAGAAGGAACATGCATCAACTCACCGAGGGCACGAATGCATGCGTTTGTACCAGTCGGGTAGCAGTAAATAGCCCAGAGGCACTCACTGCTACTTGACTGGCATTAGATTAATAGAGTGTATATGTAGATATACAATTCACAATGTATATGGAGCCGGTATCGCCGATTGAGTAAAAATCACTTTTTTGGTTAATTTTTACTTTAAAAACTTTAAACGTGTTTTTCTCAAAACTGCGTGCATATTTTTTCAACTTTGTCACATTTTCATTTTAAAACTATTCAACCAATTAACTTTAAATTTGGACAGTATGTTCCTCGCATGTGTAGTTTTCGTGTAAACTATAGGATTTTTAAAATCCATTAAGCTATAAGTATACCGCTGATTCTAATCAGCTTATATGCACTGATGAATTAGTGGAATTTCACTGATTTTTCAGCGTATATCCGCTGATTGGTACCAGTGGTATACTTATCGCTGATTCAAATTTAGAGAGCAGAGAAAAAGTGTGACAAACTTTTAAAATGTACCACTTTCGGCAGCCATTTTTTATTAGATTGTTAAAAAAAAAATTGTTTTCGACTCTTTAAAATGTATATTTTATCATAAAAAAATTGTAACCAATAAATATTTTTTTTACTATAAAAAAAATCTTTGAAAAAAACCTCAAAATCAACGTAATCTCCACTGAACAATTTTTTTCTTGAACCAAATAGTTTTTAAGTTACATAAGTTTAACAAGGTATTTTTTTTATTGAGATATCAGAGTGGTTTACAATGTATTTTTGTGTCTTAAACACGATCCCGGGTTCCAAAATTACGTATCATGTCAGGATTTTGAGTAAAGTGGGGGTAAAGTCTCCAAAAACCGTGTTTTTGATGGTTTTCAGTATTCTTTCTCCTTAATCTGACGTGATAGAGACTTCTATATATAGGCTTAAATTGAAGCTTTATCTTACACTTTAAGACTCATATGAGCAAGATAAAAAAAATTAGGTTCAAGTCACCCAAAAAAATTATTGAGGTCATTATCTCCATTTTTTTCCAAAATTTCAAAAAAAAATTTCATTATGCGCATATGGGTCTTAAAATGTACGTTTCAAACTTTCATTTAAGCCTATATGAATACCCGGATCAAATAACTCGACCGACGCTCGGACGAACGCTCTATTACCAGTCAAGTAGCAGTGACAGCCTGTGGGCGGCTCACTGCTACCCGACTACCATTAGAGCGTGCGTCCGAGCGTCGGTCGAGTTATTTGATCCGGGTATTCATATATAGAAGTGTCTAGCGCGTCCGGTTAAGGAGAAAAAAAATAATGAAAACCCTCAAAACAGTGGTGCCAGGCTGCACACCAATTCCACTCCCACCATGCCGCCCGTGCGCCTCCCACCATACGGCCACACACACAAGTGTAAAGCGTGCGCTTACTCTTGTAGGTGTGCCTATTTTTCGTTTTCCTCATATTCGCCCGCTTCAGCTAAGCGACTATGCCTGTTTTTACCGACAGCCGGTTAATTTCACGCGCGAACTTTTAAATTCTTTATAATATAAATATACTTTTATTAATGTTTTTATAGATATTTATTAATAAATAATTAATAAATGATTAGTAATTAATTAATAAATAACCGATAAATAATTATTACATAACTAACAATAATTTTTAATTAATAAATTAATATTTAATAATTATTAATCAATAAATTATAAATAAATAATTGTACAAGCACAATTATTTTAACAATAATTTATTGATTAATAATTATTCAATAATTATTTATTAATTAATAATTATTAAATATTAATTTATTAATTAATAATTATTAAATATTAATTTATTAATTAAAAATTATTGTTAATTATGTAATAATTATTTATCGGTTATTTATTAATTAATTACTAATCATTTATTAATTATTAATTAATAAATTAATATTTAATAAATTAATATTTAATAATTAATAATTAATAAATAATTATTGAATAATTATTAATCAATAAATTATAAATAAATAATTGTACAAGCACAATTATTTTAACAATAATTTATTGATTAATAATTATTCAATAATTATTTATTAATTAATAATTATTAAATATTAATTTATTAATTAATAATTATTAAATATTAATTTATTAATTAAAAATTATTGTTAATTATGTAATAATTATTTATCGGTTATTTATTAATTAATTACTAATCATTTATTAATTATTAATTAATAAATTAATATTTAATAATTAATAATTAATAAATAATTATTGAATAATTATTAATCAATAAATTATAAATAAATAATTGTACAAGCACAATTATTTTAACAATAATTTATTGATTAATAATTATTCAATAATTATTTATTAATTAATAATTATTAAATATTAATTTATTAATTAATAATTATTAAATATTAATTTATTAATTAAAAATTATTGTTAATTATGTAATAATTATTTATCGGTTATTTATTAATTAATTACTAATCATTTATTAATTATTTATTAATAAATATCTATAAAAACATTAATAAAAGTATATTTATATTATAAAGAATTTAAAAGTTCGCGCGTGAAATTAACCGGCTGTCGGTAAAAACAGGCATAGTCGCTCAGCTGAAGCGGGCGAATATGAGGAAAACGAAAAATAGGCACACCTACAAGAGTAAGCGCACGCTTTACACTTGTGTGTGTGGCCGTATGGTGGGAGGCGCACGGGCGGCATGGTGGGAGTGGAATTGGTGTGCAGCCTGGCACCACTGCCTCAAAAACACTGTTTTTATGGAGACTTTACTAAAATACATTGGAAACCACTCCAACAACTACTCTCTAAATCTGAATTAGTAAAAATGTTTACTAATTTAAATTAGTGACTCACTTTTTGCTTTTGAATTATAGTAAAATTTTACTAATTATTAGTAACTTTTACTAACAATTATTAAAATTTAACTAATTCTAAAGCAAAAAGTGAGTCACTAATTTAAATTAGTAAACATTTTTACTAATTCAGATTTAGAGAGTAAAAAAAAGTCTTATTTTGAAGACCTGTGTTAATAACAATTAATAAAATAATATTTTTTAACAAATGACTATATTTTAGTAAAAAATTTTCGTATAATTTTCAAAAAAAAAAGAAATGTTTTAAAGGTGATTATTAAATAAATATATAAGTGCGACGGTATATTATGTTTTATACATAATAAATATTCAATATTTATTTATGTTTATTATTTAATGTTCTTCACTATCTTCTCTGAATAATAATCTATTATTCTACACGGAGAAAATTTATTCCGAACATTTTACTGAATTTTAACTGAAAGTTGGGATATATAGTTGCACAAAAGGAATTTTTCAAAATATTTTTTTTATTTTTTGTAGTGATGATAGTTAAAACTTGATATGATATTTTAATTAATTACAAGCTAGTACTGTAAATATATGAAAAATTTGAATCATTAAACATTGGTTTATATTACGATAACGTATACGTAGATTATGTTGACTATTAGTCTACAAGAAATTATAAATCAATATTTATTCAATGAATTTCTCAAAAAGTTAGTTTTTAAAACAATCGTTTTTATTAAGATTTCAAAGTAACCAAAAAAACCTGTGCTATTTATCACTTTTTGATGAATCTTTTATTTAAAACATGTAGTCTTTCTCTTAACGGCCCACTAATTTTACAAACAAATCAAATTTAAAGCTACATGTAATTGTATGGAATTTTAGTTTGACGAATGAAACTATAGCCAGCTCTCCTGCGAGTATTTCCATTCTGGGCACTACATAATTCAAGTCCAGTTCGGTAAAACGTACGTACAATTCTAATTGTATTTGTTTTCAGGATTAAAATACTTTTTTATCAACTTATACCTTTTATATATATTATTATTATTGCACAATCTTTTTTCAATTTTTCAGAAAACATAATGAATAATTATTTTAATTCATTAACTATTATTAGAGGTGAAATAAACAAAAAATTGAATTTTGCTCAAATGTATTTTCAAACTAAATCATATTTTTAAATTAAATTTTAGGGGAAATAATTTATTTAACAAAATAATTTTTTTTCATTAATTTGTTTCTATTTAAATCACAATAAATTTTAAATAAAATTTTCATAAAAAGTGAATTAATTACTTAAAAAAAATAAGTTTGCTTCCTAATTTTGTCATATGTAGTCTTAAAATTAGTTGGCATATTCAGAAATAATTGAATCTAAATTATTTTATTTTTGTTTTCAATAAATTGTTTGAACGTTTCTCACAAGCGGTAAACTAAAATCCTGGTTAATATATAAGGACAGGTCAAACCTTCTGAAGCAATGTAAAGCGAGCGATTATATGTATTGCGTTATTTTATATGCATGCGTTTAGTATGTATTACGTTAAATAAAAATGTGTTGCGTGTATTAGGTGTAAAGGTTAACATGATGTACTGTTTCAATTCGTATATGTGAGTATCAAATTGTAAACCATCAGAGAATCATTAAAGTAGTTGAATTGAGATTTCCGGTAATGGTAATATTTATTTTTTATATTTCTGCCTGAAGTTTTACCGAACTCTTCATTAATAATTTAAATAATTTATGAAATTTCAATATTGATTTATCAAAAACAGACCTTAATATTCTTAGCTATTGTTCTAGTTTATGTACTGCTAGAACTTTACGGTTTCCCGAACTGAACTTGAGACACTAATATATGTGTTTTAATATTTTATGCCTTTTGCATTACAGTTTTATGAAATTCATTTTACTGTACTAATTCTTGAAAAATTACCGTTTTGCTGTTATATCCCAATTTTACCGAATTAATTTCAGTAAAACTCTCGGAACAAATTTTCTCCGTGTATTATTCGATTTTAATGGGAAATTTAATAAAATTTAACTTTCATTACTTTTACTAACACTTTTGCTCGTGAGTTTTTTTTTAAATGCATTAAAAAAATATTTTATTTGCACAGGTAGCGTAGAATGGTTGTAGCTCAAAATAATGAAGAGACCGGAACTTGCTTCACTGGAGTAAAATGTATCCAAAGAGTTTGTCTTTCAAACCTTTTTTGATTTTTGTCTTTATTGGCTCATGGACCAGTTCATAAACTAAAAAAGTGGTGTTCTCGTTCCACTCTACTCTAGTTAGTGTTAGATTTTAAATCACGTTAAATGGAATTAATTAAAATTACATATGCCTGAAATTCTGGAACGTTCAAATGAATTAAACATTTAGTAATTTATTTTTGGATGTACAGAAAATAATATATTGTATAATAAAATTTGAAGTAAAAAAAGTAGTAAACAAATTTATCGTTCATTTGAACGTTTAAAATTCCAGGCAGATAATAATTATAACCATTCTTTAATAATATTTCTTGGACTTAAAAGATTAAATAATAAAATTAAAAAAAAAAAAAAATCACGAGAGAATGTTTAAAAAAATGATTTAAAATCAAACAATAATATTAAAAACAGGTTATTAATCAGAGAAGATTATAAGGAAGAAATGAATATTATAAATAAATATTTGGATATTTATTTACGTATTTATAACAGCATCAATTTTTCCAGCGACAAAATACCTTTATTAAAAGCAAACTCGTAAAATATATTCCGTAAATTAATAATAATAATTAAAATCACTACACACCACTTATCTTCAATAAATCACTACCGAACATTTTCAAATGTTTTAAATTTTTTCAAAAAATTGAATCAACACCATATTCACACATAGGTATATAAGTCACTCGCGTATGTAGGTGGGTGGGTGGTTTTAATCCATAAAATTGAAAAGACATTGGAAGAAAATGTAAGAACTCAATATAAGGCGACTGACCTGTGCCCATCCTCCGCGACCGATCAAAAGTCGAACATCCCCAGACTGGCAGTTGCTTTTCGTTTACAGGATCTCGCAGCGTCCCGGCCGGTTCTCCCTGGTATCCTGGCCGCAGGTCTTGACGTGGCTACCAATGTTAAGGGGTGATGTGTATGTACAAATGTGAATATGCCTCGCATATACGAAGAAGAAATTGCATTGGTGTGCACTCCCATCGGATATGATGCAAAGATGCGGAGGTGGTGTATATGTGTGTGTGTGTGTGTGTTAAAACTCGGTTTTGAGACTATACGACCAACAGTCACTTATATACAATGACTGTATATAGAGACACACATCGACAAGTCGCTATTGTAACGACATGCGATCCCCGGCGTAACGCCAAGGCACATGTAACACCTTGGAGAATGGCTCTTGGATGGGGGGTGGGGGGATGGTTGCCGTTATAGGGTGGGACGGTTCGAGATGGTTCAGGACTTGCTGGCCGAGTGGCTGCTCGTACTCGTCATCGTGGAGCTTGTTAGTTAGCCACGGGGGCGGCTCCAAGGCCAGGTTGTCAGATGACTCGGTTTCCGACACCACTATGTCATTGGTAGACTCCACCCTCGCACTCACTTCCGCTTTCGAAGGGGTTGCTGGGTGTGGCTTCAGCACTTGACACGCCTTCTACCCTGTCGAAATCCCCAGGATTTCTCTCCTCCAGGGTGGTCGACTAACCGCCGCTAGCGAAAAACCCATGTCGATCTTCCACCACCACCACCACCCCCCGGGAATATAGTCTGTTATTCGTTGTACATAACTCGTCCGGAAATAAGTTGGATGCGGTACAGTTAAGTGCTGAGAGAGAGAGAAAGAGAGACTTTGAGACTGATATGGTAGCCGCAACCATTTCAAAAAGTCATCTGTTATAATGACTTCAGTTTCCTGAATGAGACCAAAATAAATAAAAAAAAAAACGTTGACAATTGAAAATATACACGAATTCAATATAAAGCTTGCATATTTTCTGATTTTAAATCTTATCCCATTAACGCTCCCAAGTGTACAAATTTTAGTCATGAAATTTTTGACATTATATTTTAGCATTTCAAAAAAAAAATTCTACATAATAATTCGTCTTACATGGCCAAGAGTCTGTTGTTTGGCCATTTTTAATTTCGGATAAATAAAAGTTCGGTATTTTAAGAATTTTATCAAATAATAATTTGTACAAATAAAAATTTTGACAAATTAAGATTCGGTGAATTGTAAATGCTAACTTTGTTCTCCCTGCATGCTTCTGCCATCTGACGGCGACAGGACGTAATAAACCTGTCATTATATGTATTACATTCCTACTTTTCGTTTAGAAATCGCTTTTTTGTATGGTAGCTCTCCTTGACAAACACTTTCAGAGACTGTTTGACATCCTTAATTTGCTACCAAAAATATTGTTAAAATAAATTCTGTCAAATAAAAATTCTTGTAAAAATAACTATATATACACTATAGCCTCTATTTAGTGACAGGTTGATATGTCAATTATTATCTATATAGTTTGAAATTGGTAAAAATACTTTATTGAATATAGCAAATATTACAGATTTTGATACAAAATACAAATCGAAACATTTTCGACAGTTTCACAAACATAACCTATAATTTTTTTCCTTTTAAGCCCAGATAGCACGTAAGCTTGCAGCAATCTTACTGCAAGCTTCAAATTTCCCACCTGGACCCAAGCTTGCATGCGGTAAGCTTACCGCATCTTTACCGAAAGATTGCAGTGTAAAATTACTACAAGATTGCGGTGTAAGGTTACTGCAAGATTGCACAATAAGATTATCGCAAGATTGACAAATAACCTTACTTTGAAACAAAAAAAAAAATTTTTATTTAAATGTTTCCTTTAATTTATATATAATAAAAATATATAAATTTGACGAAAAATTAAAAAAAAAAAATTTTTAGGTTCAAAGTAAGGTTTTTGGGCAATCTTGCACCAACCTTGCTACAAGCTTACTGAGCAATCTTGCGTGCTCTTTCTACGATATTTGCAGGGATCTATATACTCTTTTGGTACAGGACCCTGCAAATTGGGTATGTTTTTCTACAAATATCGTAGAAAGCGCACGCGCGAAAGTAGTAGACGGAAAAAAATCTTCACCTAAATCAGCGATATGTTTCTCTAAAACAGCGAAAGTTTTCGCTATTCTAGAGAAATATATCGCTGTTCCAAAGAAACTTATCGCTTTTCCAGGTGAAGATTTTTTTACGTGTATAGTTACTGTCTCTACTATATTCGCGCTTGATTTTTTTCTCCGTGTATATAAATCAAATTTTCTTCTGCATCTGAAACAAAAATTTTTTTTTTTACAAAATTGCTTTCCTTTTTGATTAATATTTACATATTTTAAATGTTTTATAATATTTATTGTAATAGTATATCAGATTAACATATTTATTACTTTCAAGCTTTTTTCTTTTTTTTTTTTTACATAAATAGTGAAATTTTGTATATATTGCGTCCCTGAGTGAGATTCAATACGAATCATAAAATAGCATTTACACGAGCTAATGGTTTACTGCACGTCGCTTCGTTGAAAAACGAATCCTCTTTTCATTGCCTCTCTTTTACCCCCTATACGAAGAGAAATGTGGCAATCGTCAAGGATTTAAGGGTTGAAAACCTGAAATGGCAGCCTCTACTTCGTATAATACATATATATATATATACCGTCAACGTCCGATCAAACATCAGGGGCGCAAATTTTTACTCTAAATTTAAATTTTTTATCCAAAATAAGAATAATATAAATTTTACAATATTAAAAGGGATATAAAAATATGCATACAAAAAAGAAATATGATTTATCAAAAATATTCTAATAAAATTGCGAATGCTATTTCATTTTTTTTTACACTGAAGAAATTTAATGTATTTTTAGTCAAGTTTGACAGATTCGTTAACTATGGTTCGTTTCTGATGTTTGAAAGCGAAACATAGTATAGAAAAGTGGTGAACCACTGACGGTAGATCGGTGGTCTGATGATTAAGGGGATTTGGCCAAACGTAGTTTGGTTGGTGTGTGTATTCTGTTGAGCCCGGTCGTTCGCTTGAACAAACTCAACGAGGCCTTCTGACCACCTTGTCAGGCACGATCGGGTCCACTCGACCACGGCCGACGTTCGAGGATTTAGGATTGAACAGCTTTCTCTCCCCCGACACCACCCTTTCGTTACAATTCTATATCCCATGTTCTGATAAGAAATCCTACAGCTAAATCTGCATTTACTATATATATATATATAAGAAAATACTATTCTTTCAATTGTCTGGAAATTTTGCTTTTAATTTATTATAACAAATTTCTTTCAAATTTGTTGCCATTTTTTTTTTAAATTATTAACATTATTTTATGCAACACAAGTATATGTTTCTAAAATTCATAAAATATTGAAATATTGAAAAATTTTGTAAAAAAAATTTTAAAGGTACCTACTCTCTTAATTTGAATCAGTGAAATTTCACTGGTGAAATAGCTAGAAGTCGGTTTCTGAATCATTTAGTGAAATTTCCACTGAAAATCAGTCATATATCACTGATTTCCAGTGAAAATTTTACTAAATGAATCAGTCAATCTGTTTTACCCATTACCGATAATACAGATTGACTGATTCATTTAGTGAAATTTTCACTGGAAATCAGTGATATATGACTGATTTTCAGTGATAATTTCACTAAATGATTCAGTAACCGACTTCTAGCTATTTCACCAGTCAAATTTCACTGATTCAAATTAAGAGAGTATAGAAGATGTTTGACTGAAGTGTATACTTTTTTAGAAAATTTAAAAAATCATTTTTATAAGGTTAATGTTTTGTTTACAAAAATGACGAAGACAATTTAAACATATATATCTTCTAAGTACTTTTAACCCCTTCGCAGTCAAGGCCAAAATCTCATAAGTGGGCCTAAAATGTGAGTAAATTTTTGAATGACCAAAATTTGTGCAAATGTGTATACTATGGTATTTAAGGTCGCGGATTACGATTCCAAAGTCAGATTTTAAAAATTCAAAATGGCGGAGCTAATATGGCGGACGATTTTTCAAAAAAAGGCAAAAATGATTTAAAAATAATTAAAAATTGTTACTCGGAGGTTTTTGGGGTCGCTGATTACGAATCTAAAGTCAGATTTCAAAAATTCAAAATGGCGGTACCAATATGGCGGACAATTTTTTTAAAAATGGCAAAAATGATTTAAAAATACTTAAAAATTGTTACTTGGGGGTTTTTGGGGTCGCTGATTACGAATCTAAAGTCTGATTTCAAAAATTCAAAATGGCCGAGACAATATGGTGGACAATTTTTCAAAAAATGGCAAAAATGATTTAAAAATACTTAAAAATTATTACTCAGGGGTTTTGAGGGTCGCTGATTACGAATCTATAGTCAGATTTCACAAATTTAAAATGGCTTTACCAATGTGGCAGATAATTTTCTAAAAATTTAAAAATTAATTAAAATTACTTAAAATTTGTTACTCAGGGGTTTTGAACGTCCCTCTTTACGATATTCAAGTCAGATTTTGAAAATTCAACATAGCATAGTATGGGTGTGATTATTATTGTATCCATTTTGAATTTTGAAATTTTGTAATTCTGACATGATATTCTGAATCAGCGACCCCAAAAACCCCCAAGTAACAAATTTTAGGCCAATTCCGTCTTATTATTGGGCTCAAAATTTATGTGCGTGTATACACGTCATCGACACCCAAGGGGTTAATATTGTTTTGAAACTGAATTCGTCCGTAATTTAATCGTAATTTGTGTGGTTTTATTTGAAAAAATAGATATACAGAATTGATAAAAAAATATTCCATACACAAATTCGAATGGAATTCTGCCTGTAATATCTAAGGTTATTTTTTTTTTTAAATTTCAGATTCAATTTTCTGTACGAATTTCAGACGTTTTTTTGAAAGGAATGACGCACGTAATTTTTGCTATAAATTTTTCTTTTTAAATTCGACTACTTTGGCGTACGAATTTTGTACAATTTTTTTTTTTCAATTTTATGAGAAATAATAGGCGCGGTATTACTATTGTATTTCTATCAAAAATTTGTTATTACTTCGCACGAATAACGTACAAAAAAACGTATGCAAAAAAAAATCGTATATGCAAAAGTAGTCCAATTTCAAAAAACGTCCGAAATTCGTACACAAAATTGAATCTAAATTAAAAAAAAAAATTTAACCTAGATATTACAGGCAGAATACTTCATTTGAATTTGTGTGTAGAATTTTTTTTTTTTTTTATCAATACTGTATCCATTTTTCCAAATAAAACCGCACACAAATTACGATTAAATTACAGATAAATTCTGTTTCAAAACGCCACACGAATTTTTGTAAGAATTTAATACGAATTCTAAATGAATTTCGTACGAATCATTTATACATTTGGGATTATTGCATCAATATCACATGACAATATTGTGACTATTGCGTGGCAATATTGCAGCAACATTGGTTGTTAGCCGTCATACGGAAATATTGCAATATTATTACTCTAAGGCGGATATAATTAACATTTACAGGAATATTGCCTAAATATTCCCAGGAAAATTCCGAATGACGGACATAATCAATGTTGCAGAAATATTGACATATTCACAATTATAATTACGATTTAGTTTTCAATAATAACATTTTTAATCGAAGATCCTTTAACAGCATCTGAAACAAAAAAAAGAAGTTACAAATATAGTTTATATACATTGTTTTTTTTTTTTTTTAAAAAAAGAGAAGCTGTAAGTAGAAAATGAAACTGGTCTGACTAAACTGACCTATATCTACTGTACAATGCTTTTAAAGACGTTTCTACAACAGATGTTAAATTTGTACAAGAGATTTCGCTATAAAGATACACGGAAAAACTTTGTTCAAGAACCATTCCTAAATTTGTTCAGGAACTGAGGATATGAGAAAAATTCTGCAAAATTTACAGAAAAATACAAAAATCATTGAAGAAAATACTTGTATTTTTATTATGACATTGGAAGACTTCTTGTTAATGCCGCGATCAGAATATCTCAGTCACTGGGCGTTGAAAGTTTCTTGAACTGTTTTAGAAGACACAGTACAGTAACCAAGCACTAGGCAGGGATTGGTTGCGTCAAATACGTTTCCAATGCATAATACCATAAGCTACTAAGGTAGCTGAGAGATGTAAAGCGGAGTTTTTGGACTCTCGAAGACGTGGGATCGAGTCCTCCCAGAGTAAATTTTTTTTCTCGCAAACGTAAAAATTTATTCTGAAACAAGTTCAAGACTTTCTATAGTGAGTTTAGGAAGTTGTCTTGAATTTCTCTACAATTCTTATAGAAATACTGCTTAGAATTTTTCAAAGAAAATATAAATAAGATTTCTTAAATTATTTTCATATCCTCAATTCCTGAACAAATTTAGGAATGATTCTTGCACAAAGTTTTTCCGTGTAATGTATTCAGTGATTGACAACTATCGAAAAATTTACATGTATTTTTATTTAAAAGTGAAAGCTATTTAGGTTGCGTCTACAATAGATTAAAAAATGTGTAACGATCGTGTAGTGTAAAGTTGTGTATCTTGTATATGACTTAAAATATTGCAAATTAACTGCTATTAATAAACAAAAACATAACCTCAAATTCAGATTTTTAATATTAAAAATTAAAATTAATAATTAAATTAATTAAATTAATTAAATTAATATTAAAAATCTGAATTTGAGGTTATGTTTTTGTTTATTAACAGCAGTTAATATGCAATATTCTAAGTCATACAAGATACACGACTTTACACTACACGATCATTACACATTTTTTATTCTATTGTAGACGCAGCCTTAAGTCATACAAGATACACAACTTTACACTACACTACACTACACGATCGTTACACATTTTTTAATCTATTGTAGACGCAGCCTAAGTTCGATTAATAAAATTTATACACATTTTCGACCTATTGACAATCGATGCACTCATTGTAATGTGAACTTATTGTAAAAAAAACCTTAAAATCCGAATCGAAAGAATTAAATAAAAATTTTATAATAGAAATATAAATAATTTTAAATACACATATATCTAGTTATATTTAATATTTACTCACTAAGGTAATAAAAAATTTCAATTTCTGTTGATTACAAAATGAAACAATTGACAGATCGTTAAAAACAATTTACATAAATAAAAAAAAAAAACAATATTATAAGTGAACTGAAAGTAGTTTTAAACCTCAAAATATAAAAGTGAAAAAAAACATGCAATAATATTTCTCTCGCTTTCCACGCATCAGATCGATAAATTCATTGTTAAATTCTCCTACAATGTTAGCACCTAGGAAACAGCCCTTCCAACCTTCCCCAAAAAGCCATTTCCAGCAGGTGAGATTATCAGTTTGTTTCCCAAAGCGAAGAAACATTACAATCATATATCATATAGTCTAGAAATTAAATAGTATTTTATATTAAAAAAAAAAAAAAAAAAAACTAAAAAGCACAATGCTACAGAGAAGAAATCTTGATGAAAGATGTTCATTAAATGAACCAAGTAGACTTGCCAATGAGCAATGTGATCAAATACAAGAAATTGAGAGGGATATTCAAATTTACAATTGTCAAGAACCAAAAGATTCTTCTACTATTTCTCAAGAATTAAAAGTAAGTTCATATTAATCTCCATCATATAGGCACTATACTTAATTTTCTGTGGAATTTTAAAATTTTTTAATAATTTTGCTTTCTTTATTTTAATTTTTCACTATATATAGTAATTTGCAAACTTTAACCGGTTAATTTACTTATAACCATCTGTTTGTAGTATCAGTACAAAATACACAAACATAACCTAAAATGTTTTTGCAACTAAGGTCCCTTTCACCGTACGTGGAGCGTAGCAATAATAATAATAAAAATAAATAACTTTATTATTAATATTAATCCTGTTATTAGACATATTGAAAATACTTATAACGAATGTTTTAATTTTAAACTCTTATAGATAAAAGAGAAAAATCTTGGTCCAATGATAGATCTTTTGAAGAATCATCATGAAACTGGAGGTATTAATCCTCCGTATTTTCCTCAACAAGAAGATGGTCACCCAGTGAAAAGTGAGGGTCCTATGGAGCCAGTTGGACCATGGGCAACTGGTTGTGTGTCATACAGTCCCTATAGTGGAATAACGGGAGTACGTCCTGTTGTCGATCGTTACTCAATAACGCGATATAGTCCCGGCGAATGGCGAGCTCATAATCAAACATTTTTCAATGAATCGACCGAGAAAATTCGAGAAGCTCAGTTCGTATAAAAAATTAATATCAATTTTTTTGATTGGTTAATTTTTTAGGTTTTATTTAAATTAAAAAAAATTTTATTTGTTTTTTTTGAAATTTGAAAATCCTTGTGACGTTTATTATTATTAATTATGTCCTGTTTATTTTTATTTGGAAACTTAACGAGAAAATTTTCGAAACAAATTTGAGGGGACTGGGAATTGAACCCGGGTTCTTCAGACACTAACCAAAGACCCTAACCGAGAACCTACTCGACCAACTATCAGAGAATAAAAAAATTTTGCTCTTAACTCTTGACTGTTTTTATGAGTTGAAAAACAGTTGAAAAACGAGGGTTAAGAGCAAGATTTTTTTATTCTCTGATAGTTGGTCGAGTAGGTTCTTGGTTAGGATCTTTGGTTAGTGTCTGTCGAACCCGGGTTCAATTCCCAGTCCCCTCAAATTTGATTCGAAAATTTTCTCGTTAAGTTTCCAAATAAAAATAAACAGGACATAATTAATAATAATAAACGTCACAAGGATTTTCAAATTTAAAAAAAAAAACAAATAAAATTTTTTTTAATTTAAAATGTATTTTTTAAAAATTGCAGCAAGCTTGCAGCAACCTTTCTAGAAGATTGTTGAAATTCTCCTGCAACTTTACGTAGGAAGCTTACAGCAATCTTTAACGGCAAGCTTGCCGCAATCATTCTTAGTATGCTTGCAGCAATCTTGTAGCAATCTTTCATGGCAAGATTGCAGCAACTTTTCCTGGAAAGCTTACAGCAAGCTTTCACGGCAAACTTGCCCTGGGTGGGACATTTCGCTAGCTCAGACAAGCTTGCGCGGAAAGCTTGACAAGCTTGCACGGTGAACTTGCCGCAAGCTTTCTGCAAGTTTCCGTGCTATCTGGGATAGCACGTAAGCTTGCAGCAACGGCAAACTTGCCTCAAGCTTACGGCAAGCTTCAAATGTCTCACCTGACCCAAGCTTGCATGGTAAGCTTACCGAAAGATAGCAGTGTAAGGTTACTGCAAGATTGCAGAAATAAGATTACCGCAAAATTGCACAATAAGATTATCGCAAAATTGCTCAGTAAGATTGCACGGTAAGCGTGTAGCAAAGTTGGCAAATAACCTTGCTTTGAACATAAAAAAATTTCTTCAAAAATGTTTCGTCCAATTTATATAATTTTATTACCTATAGAAATTAAACGAAACATTAAAAAAAAAAAATACGTTTAAAGCATAAGGTTATTTGGCAACCTTGCACCAACCTTGCTACAAGCTTAATGAGTAATCTTGCGATAATCTTATTCTACAATCTTGCAGTAACCTTACACTGCTATCTTTCCGTAAGCTTACCATGCATGCTTGGGTCAAGTGGGACATTTGAAGCTTGCCGTTAGCTTGCGACAAGTTTGCCGTCCAAGGTTTGGCAATATTCTTATTTATATTTCTAATTAACATAACAATATAATCTTCATTATGTATCAATTTGTATTATCCTATTTAGATTTATAATCTTTAGCAATGTAATAAGATTATAAGAAAATATGGTGAAACCTTATTTTATTTTGTATACACATTATAGAACAATTAGATTGGATGCTCGACATTGTAAAGAAGAGATCTACAAAGAAACTGATAAGACCCAACTGGAAAATCGAGATCGGCTCAGTAGCCGTGTAGGTGTTGTTCATCGATGGAAAACAGAATTGGAACGAGCCCTTCTTGACATAACTGAGGAAATTGAATTGCAAGATGGGGAGCGACGACGTGTCCAGCGGTCTCTGTCAGTTCTCACGATACCCGAATCAATTGCTGCCGAGTTCCTGGAGCTTCGTTCCACTAGACTGGAGCCGGATCTCGTGAAAGACGATGTCGAAACGGAATTAGTGAAGGTGGATATTTCTAAAGAAAATTTTATTTATATATATATATATATTAATAATGAACATTAATAATTTATTTCAGCCGCCTAAATAGTGGTGCAGAAATTTTTATTTTATTTACTTTTATTTTTATTGAAACTCTTTACTCTCTGGGGGTTTCGAGGCCGCTGATTACTAACGATAATAATTTTTCAAAATTAAAAATGGTGGATTCAATATAGTGAAATATACACAGAAAAAACCTAGTCTCATTCTTGTTGCAAATCAAAATGAGCCAATGCTAAACGACATAGACAGTGGCGCCACCAACCTGGTTCATTTTTGTTGCACATCAAAATGAGCCGCCTACACGGCTCATTATGAGTTCAGTTTTTTTCTGTGTATATATTTATTTAATTAATCAGATTCGCTTGAAATTCTTTGCTCGTAAATTTCCAGGGTTGCTATGATTATGAATCAGCGAATTATTATTACTTTTTCAAAATGACGGACTATTTTTTAGTTCACTATATAATCAATTACCCCGAAAACCCGTAAATAATCAATTTCAAGCGAATTCGATCAATCTTTAAAAAAATCTTCATCAAATTTTGAATTTTGAAAAACTGATATCGGATTCGTGATTGTAATGTACTTTTTTCTACACTGAGAAAACGATATTTTTATTTCACACTTATTTAAGGGCAAGTCCAACATGTGAAATGTAAACAAACATGAAATGTAAACAAACCATGCACATTTTTTCGCACTTCTCATTTGCGTAGAAAATAAAAATTTGTTGTTTTCTTTATGAAAATGGTAAATTAATATATTAAAGTTGGTTACTATACTTTATTTAACTAATTTTATGAAAAAATAAGTACAATTATAATGAAATGAAAAGTGCACTGAATTAGCAATTTTTTCAAGGTTTCGAAAAAAAAACCATTTGAGTATATCTGAGGCACGGACGTTGAGCACCTAGGTGGGAGAAGAATGTTGAGCCATTGGACGGTCACATCTTGGAAAGGGTAAAATTCTGAAATTTTACCCCTTCTCTCACTTTCTCCCACCTAGGTCCTCAACGTCCGTGCCTCAGATATACTCGAATGCTTAAATTTTTCGTAACCTTGAGAAAATTGTTATTTCATTGTACTTTTCATTTCATTATAATTATACTTATTTGTTCACATAATTAGTTCAATAAAGTATAGTTACCTAGTCTAATATATAAATTTACCATTTCCACAAAGAAAACGACAAATTTTTATTTTCTACCCAAATGAGAAGTGCGAAAAAAATGAGAAAATTGCTAATTCAGTACTTACAACGTGCTAAAAGTTTTTTTTACAGTGTGCTGTCTAAATCTGAATTAGTAGTTTTTAACTAATGAAAAAGTGCGTATTCATTTACCAATTGAATTAATAACAGTTTTGATTAATTTTTTTAAAAAAAATTACTAATTGCTAGTAGAAAACTACTAATTGATGGAATAAATCGTATTTTTTACTATTTCAAATTAATAAGCCGATTTACTCCATGAATTAGTAGTTTTCTACTATAGCAATTAGTAATTTTTTTTTTACTAAAATTTAGTCAAAACTATTACTAATTTAATTGATAAACCAATACGCACTCTTTCATTAGTAGAAAACTATACTAATTCAGATTTAGAGAGTGAGAATGATGGTCACTTTTTTTCAAAATCCGACGTAAAACAACTCCCCCAATTACACGGAATATTAAAATGTCCGACCTTCGGAATATTACACTTGAATATTTAGGGAATATTCCAACGGAATATTGATGGAATGTTCCATTGGAATATTTGGGGAATATTCCGTTGGAATGTTGGATGAATATTCCATATCAGAATATTGAAAGAATATTTAATGGAAACATTGTACGAATATTTTTTAATAATAAAAAATCAAACTATTATTACTGATTTTATATTGTTTCCATATCGAATTTTTTAATTTTGTCTTCATTGAAATAAAATACGTTCAGTTATATGTATATTTATATAAATTAATTCTGAAAAATAAATTTTGAAACAATACAAAAATGGTTTTTAAATGAAAATTTACAAATAATTGATTAACTTTTGATAAATTTCAAATGTATATATATATATATATATATTTCAATGAAACATTCCATCAATATTCCAATGAAATATTCCCTTAATATTCCAAAGGTCGGACATTTTAATATTTCTGGAATATAGATGAAATATTCCAAAGAATATTCCTCGAATGTGAATGGAATATTCCGTGTTATTGGGGTCTGGAATTTTTTTACAGTATACACGAAAAATAATTTTTAGGTTAAAAATCGATAGAAAATTTTTTTCTATTGATTTCAATCGATTTTTCTAGAAATGTTAATAATAAACTTAAGGCCAGGTGCAACTCGTCAAATGTAAACAATGTACGTAATTATTGACAAATTTGCGACAGCCTTTTATTTAATAGAAAATAAAAATTGTTCTTTTTCTATGTGAAAATGGAAAATTCATTTATAAAACTACAGCCTGACACCGCATTTGACTAATAATATGAATAATATTAATAATTATAATAAAATGAAAATTACACTGAAACAACAATTTTCTCAATGTAACGAAAATAAAACCATTTGAGTATATCTGAGGCACGGACGTTGTGAACCTAGGTGGGAGAAAGAGTTGAGCGATTGGACGGTCACATCTTGGATAGGGTAAAATTCTGAAATTATACCCCCACCAGAGGACAGAGACTAGGTCTTTTACCCCTTCCCACACTATTTCTCCCACCTCGGTTCTCAACGTATTTTTTCGTAACCTTGAGAAAATGTCTAATTCAATTTCATTTTCATTTTATTATAATTGTTAATATTATTCATATTATTAGTCAAATGCAGTGTCAGGCTGTAGTTTTATATATGAATTTTCTATTTTCACATAGAGAAAGAACAATTTTTATTTTATATTAAAAAAAAAGCTGTCGCAAATTTTTCAATAATTACGTACATTTTCATGTTTGTTCACATTTGACGAGTTGCACCTGACCTTAAACTCAAAATGATCTACGTAAAACATCTAAATTGTGACACTTTACAGGGAATGGTAGCTTTTTTTAGATACATGGAGGGGAACTCGAGGGAACTAAAAGAGAGAAAAGCAGGGTAAAGTAGGTGTCAAAAATATAAAGATATGTCATATTTCGAATGTTCTACTGGAATTACAGTGGAAATTTACATGCATCACATGCGTCCATTCTAAACTAACACTTAAATTTAAATCAAACAAATAATATTTTTAAATTTGACTACAAATTTTCACTGAAAAATGAAAGTCAAAGTTAAAGTAAAATCGGAAACGAAAGTATATATTTTAAGTGGCTATATTTTCACAATTTTTTGATGTGATAATATGTATAATATATTTTTTTCGTTATACAATTTTCTCGACAGGAATTAGCTCTTTGTTGGGAGGTGAGAAGTTTTCTTGAGAAAAGTAAAGAACAAATTGAAGAGCAATTGCTCGAACTAAGAAGTTTTAAGAACCGAATGGAATGCGATTGGACGGATAAAGCTGATACCTATGAAATTGATACTCTTTGTGTGGGACTAAAAAATTCTTCTCCTTTAATTTTGTTCAAAAATGGTGTTACAAGAGTTCCTGCTAAGTTAGTAAAAATTATCAATATATTAAATAATTCATTATACATAATTGCAAAAATATATACAAAAAGTTTATTTAATTATATCAAAAAAAAAAAATTTTTTTGTACTTTTAGATATATCTATTTACAAAATACGATTTTATAGAATTTACTGGGCGCATGAATATCTCAAAAAATCATTAGCTAGAATTTTCATTTGACAGAATTTTTTTTTAGACGATTTTTCACTTTTCGAATTAGCATTTGAGTTATCTTTTTTGTAAACGAAATTTTATTCAACATCATTTTCAGGTACCGAATTTTCATTTAACGTCATTTTTATTTTAACAATTTTTTTTGTTCTCCAACTTTGTATTTTAAAGCATTATAATTTAAACCAATTTTAATTTATCAAAATTCTCATTCAACAGAATTTTAGTGATTCAAACTATTTACTAAAATTCTGTTGAATGAGAATTTTGATAAATTAAAATTGGTTTAAATATTATAATGCTTTAAAATACAAAGTTGGAGAACAAAAAATTTGTTAAAATAAAAATGACGTTAAATGAAAATTCGGTACCTGAAAATGATGTTGAATAAAATTTCGTTTACAAAAAAAGATAACTAAAATGCTAATTCGAAAAATGAAAATTCGTCTAAAAAAAAATTCTGTCAAATGAAAATTCTAGCTAATGATTTTTATGAGATATTCATGCACCCCGAATTTACATATATTTATAACAATTTTGTAAAATGTTAAAAAAAAGTTCAGCACAAACTTCACTGAAAATTATTTAAAACTTTTAAAAAGTTGATATTTTTTTATATTGAAAATTTACAACATTGAACAAAACTATTTTATAGATCAAAAATTGAATGTTGTATAAATTATAATATATTAAAGAATGGAAAAATTTTTGTAAAATTTAAAAATACTTTAATTATATATTCATATATAGTCAAACAACTCCTGAAGAGTACGATAATTTTACTAAGGAAAATTTAACTGCAGCAGAAAATTCAAGACAACGATCCATAAATTTAAGATCCACTTTAAATGTAAATTATTCCAATGCCCTGAAAGATCTTCGAACACAATCGAATCGAGTGAATACTGCATTGGCCGAGAAAATTGCACTCACCGAACAAGTTTGCGAAAATTTGGAAAAAGAACTCCTCAAGGTATTAAATAAACAAAAAAAAACTATGTGTAAGAAATTATTTTCCATCTTAAGAAATTTATTTTTTTTTAATTTTAAGGGGAGGCATCACCCCCAATTTTGATCCACTTTAATTTACATTATTAAACGAGGTTCTATTTTTTTTCTTACATCATTTGGGTCTTAAAAACATACAGGATGGTCCAAAAAATGAAATTTTAATTTATGACCATTTTAGAAATTAAAGTCTTAAAAAAATTATTATTTTAAAAATATCTATCTTTTTTTACAATTTTGACTATTTTTCATCGCCAATTTTTTTCCACTCTTTTTTTTAATGATTCTTAAGAATCTCCCCCATGGATTTTCAAAAAATTTAATTTTTTCAAAAAAAGAGCGAAAAATATAAGTTAAAACATCATTGTATCTTCTTTCACAATTTTAAGTATTTTTCATCGTCAAATTTTTTCCACACTTTTTTAATGATTTGTCAGAATCTCTCGCATGGATTTTCAAAAATATGAATTTTTTCAAAAAATAAAAATTCTAAAATGGTCAAAAATTAAAATTTTCTTTTTTTGACCACCTTATATGTTTTTAGGACCCAAATGATGCAAGAAAAAAAATATAACCTCATTTAATAATTTAAATTTAAGTGGGTCAAAATTGGGGGTGGTGCCACCCCTTAATTTTCTATACTTGAAAAATAAAGAAACGTGTATTTTTTTAAATTTTCATAATTTTTTTTGTAATTATTATGGATATTTTAAGATTGTATCAAAATATAATTTTTTTTTCAATTTTTTTCTAATAAAGAAATACTAATAAAATAGTTATTTATTATTTTTCGAGTCGGAGTCAAATCTACACAAAATTAAAAAATAAATATTTGAACAAAACATAAATATTGTTATTTTTACATTTAATGTTTTTACTTTTGTTATTTTAATTATTTATAATTTTTATTTAATTATTTTGTTTTTTTCATTGAAAAGAAAATTTTCTTTCTTTGAACATTGAATTTTTTTTTACTTTACAGTTTTTACGAAAATATATGTATATTTTTTTTCATTTTATAATATTAAACAATTTTGTATGTACAAAATAACAAGTGAAAAAAAAATTATGTATTAAAAAAAACGAAGTAAAAAAGAAAAAAAATTTTTGTTGTATAATAAGTATCAGTAATTAATGAAAAATTATAAAAATAATTAATATAACAAAAGTAAAAACATTGAATTAAAAAATGACAATATTTATGTTTTGTTCGAGCTAACATTTTTTTTTTTAAAGAAGTTTTAAAGAAAAAATTGAAAATAAGTAATTTTTTCCTCCTAAGAAACAAAAAAAAAAAAAAAAAATACTAATGACATTTTTATCGTAAGTAGTATGAAAATTTGGAGAAAAAAAGATGGCTAAACACTTTGAAAATTGTATGTTATTTTTTTTTATTTTTAGTTTTCAAAAAAGTAAGAAAAAATTTTTTTTTTAGTTAATATTTTTTAATTAGAAAAAATTTGGAAAAAAGATATTTTTCCTGCCAAAATCTTAAAATATCCATAAAAATTACAAAAAAAAAAAAAAAAATGTTATGAAAATTTAAAAAAATATGTGTTTCTTTATTTTATTGTGAAGTTAGTTCTCAAAATACCCCATCGAACTATTTGCATAATTTGAGATGGATCCGGTCAAATAATTGATAATGCGATTTAAAAAATTTTTTTAACCAAAGTAATTTCTTTTACCAGTGCCTGCAAGAGCTCACAGTTACGGAAAATTTGATTGAAGAACTTCGTGGATCGACAAAAAGCTTAAACGATGCTTTGAAAGTTGCACAAAGTCGTCTATCGAATCGTCTTCAAAGAAGAAATGTTGAAAATTGTAGAGACATTCCACAATATGGGTAAATATTTTTTATAATTCATTTTTCTTCAACTTTTTTTTTTTTGTACCGGTATATAATTTCAAAAGTTGTTAAAATCAATTTTTTTTAAAATTCAAATTTAGCAATTTATAAAAAGTAAAATTTTGCCTTTTATTGAAATAATTGACGATAAAAATAAAAATTTTAAAGAGAAATGCTAACGAAAATTAACTATAATTCTAGAATTATTGAGGAAGTGAAAACTTTAGGAGAAAGTATATCAACATTAATGGTAAAATTGAGAAAAGTCGAAGATGCACAAGCTAATTTAGTTAAATCCAGAAGTAATATGGAAAAAGAAATAATGGTTAAACAAAAATCTTTGTACATTGATCGAGATCGTGGATTAGTTCTTCGATCATTTTATCCATCGACAACTAAAATTTTAGGACAAAATGAAAAATGAAAATGTAATCCACTTTTTTTTTATATAGGTTTTATATGTATTGATATTTTTATTTAAAAAAAAAAAAAGGTTTATGATCATCGATTAAAACAAAAAATAAAAATATTTTTCACACAGAAAATAATCAAATTTTTGTCCTATAAAATATTTATTTAAAATTTATTAATCGAGAAACATTACAAAAATGTTTTTAGTCAAAAAATTATAATAAATTGCATAAAAAAAAAAAAATTTTTTTTTTCTAATTCGTTGATCATAAACATTGTGAATTTTACCGAGGTTTTATTTTATAAAAGATTTAAAGTTTAAGAAAATATTTTCAAGCACTATTCTTTATGAAATTAAATAAAAAAAAATAATCACATATAATTAATTATGTATTTTTAATAAATTTTAGAGTTTAATTAAAATCCGATAAACTTTAAAATTCATTTGTTTTATGACAAATCACGAATTTTCCATTGTTTTATAAAAAAAATTTTTTTTTTTTTATTTTCATTTTATTTTTTTAAACAATCATGCAAGAGGCAACTCATACTCAAGAGATTAAAATTCATCACAAATCGGAACCAATTTTCTTTTTTAAAAAGAAAATTTCGAAAAAAGAAAATGAAATTAAAGAATATTTTCCCAGTTCATTTGTAAGCAAACCTCAAAATGAAATCACTTCAGAAAAAATAACAAAGGTAAAATATTTAAAGATAAGGTATATTATATATATTTTTTAATTTAATTAATATATATATAAATATTTTTATTTTTTTTAACATTTTTAATTCTATAGGAGAATAAAGAAACAAAGACTGAAGTAAATTGTCCTCTAATTCCAAATATATTATCTCATCCTCAACCTCTAGGACCAATATCAAAAACTGTTCCTTTAAATTATTGGAAATCTTTAGCATCGATTTCAGGAACACGACCAAACGTTGATAAATGCTCTCTCGCACGATTCAGTCCCGGTGAAAATGAATTAAGATTTGAAAATTTACTTAAAGCGAATCAAGAAAATTTCAATAACGCATCGTAATAAAATATTCATATAAAAATTTAAAATTTACATTAAATTCTAATTTTTTAAAAACAATTTTAATTTATTCAATCAGAGAAATATTTTATTGGAATTTATTTGAGACAAATAAAAATATATTTGTCTCAAAGCCTAATAACTTTTTATTTGTTTTTAATAAAAAAAAAAATTATTTAGCCCAAATACAATTTTTATTCAAAACTCAAATAAAATTTATTTGGCTCTGAGAAAAATATATCATTCGTCATTTTTTTTTTTTTCCTTTGAGATTATTAGCGTTTACTGCTCTGAAAGCAATGGAAAGTGCTTTTGCAAAAATCGAAAATGATTCTTTACACAACAAAATAAAATTGTGTGCAAGAGCAAAAGTTCTCTTCACATGGAAACAAGAATTAGAACAAAATATTTTGGACCATAATTCTGAGATAAAATTGATTAATAATGAAAAGAAACGATTGAAAAAATCAATTAATGCACTTGAATTTGTTAAGTCAATTAACAATGAAACGAAATTAAGCAGATGTTTAAGAATTGAACCGGAACTCGTTCACGATCAAGTGGATGAAGAAATAATTCAGGTTTAATTAGTACAAGAATTAAAATAAAAAAAAAAAGTGATTTTTTCTTTTAAATCGAATAAAATTATAATTGACTAGAAAAATTAATTTAATTTGTAAAATTATTTCAAAAGTAGAATATAAATTTTTAATCTAAACCTTTTTTTTCACGCGTATAACAATGATAATTAATTTAATTATCAAATATAATTGAAAATATAATTTAAATATATACATTTTAGGAAGCAATTATATATGAAGAGATTTCAAATATTTACAAACGATGTAAAAATCATTTAAATCTTCAACTACAAGAATTAAAGGATGCTAAACAGAGACTCGAATGTGATTGGTCAAGAAAAGAACAAACTTACGATATTGACACAAATTGTATAGGCTTAAAATATAATTCTTCGAATATTTTATTGAAACCTGGATCCGTTAAATTGCCACAAAAGTATATAATGTCTCTATTTTTTTTTTTTTTTTTTTTTAATTGAAACAAATAAATAAATTTTATTTGCATGAAATAGAATTTTTATTTGAAACAAATGAATATTTATTTTTTATTATAATTTCTCATGGCTATATAAAAAAAAAAATTATATAGCTCTGAGAGAAATGTATTTTTATTTAATTCAAATAAATTTTATATTTGCTTCAAATAAAAAAAATTCATTTCTTATATTATCACTAATAATTAATGTATATGTAAATAATTGTATAAAAATTTCTTACCTTTTTCATTGAAAAACAAAAATATTCGTTTACAGTCAATCATCTCCCACAACTTATAAACAATTTTGTAAAGAATCCATTATCCAAAGTCAAAATAGTTTAAGAAATTCTCAAATTTTACGCACAAATATGAAAAATATCTACAAATCCTCGGTTCATGATCTTCGAGGACAAGCGGATAAAATAGACATTGCATTAGATGAAAAAATTGCTGAAACAATAAATTATTGTTTTAAAATTGAAAACAATTTGAAAAAAGTATGAATTATTTGAACAATATCCACAAATTTTTATTGATCAATGATTAGAAAGCAAAAATTTTTTCCAAGTCGGAAAATTATATTTTTTAATCTAAAAAAAAAAAAAAAAAAAAAATGTTTTTCATCATTTTTTGATCAATAAATTAAAGTAAGAACATTTTTTTCAGGGGAAAATTTATAGAATTTTTCATTTAAAAAAATATTTTCTTTGAAAATTTGTTGATCATAAACGTTGTGAACTTCAGATTTGTATTATTATTTATATTTATTTGCTAATAAATAAACTATTATAATTTATAAATATAAAAAAAATAAAATAATTTTTCTTTTTGGCAAAAAAGTTTAATTTGAAAACTACTTTTTATTTCATTGAAAATAAAAGATTTGATTTTCAAAAAAATGAGCGTTCATTAAATTTTTATTTTTTAAAAAAATGCTTTAAAATATGATTTCAGTGTCTGCGATCAATGTCCGAAACAGAGGCATTGATAGATAAAATTAATAATAATTTAGAAAAACTTAATGGAGCAATGAAATGCACTCAAACCTGTTTAAATGAACGTCTTCAACGAGAATTTACTGAAAATTGCCGTGACAATCCTCAATTAGGGTTGGTTAAAAAATATGTAAATAAATAATAATAAATCAATTTACACTCAGAGAAATGGTATATTTGTCTCCGAGCCTACTAACTCATTTATTTGTTGCAAATATATTTTATTTAATTGAAATAAAAAATTTATTTGAGGCAAAGAAAAATTTATTTCTGACAAATAAAACTTTTATTTACGCCAAATAAATAAGTTAGTAGGCTCTGAGACAAATATACGTTTATTTAACTCAAATATATTTTATTTGGTTCAAATAAATCATTTCTCTCCGTGGACAAATTTATAGAAATTATAATTTTTCCAATGCATTATAACGTTAATAATTAATTAAAAAATTAATATATGTGCCGAAATTTCTAAATGTTGAAATGAAAGAAATATTTTTTTTGGTCTATAGAAATTTTTTAAAAATTACTACAGTGATGAAAATTAAAAAAGTACATTAAACATTTAATAAATTAATTTAATTTATTTTGAAATACAGAAAAAGCAATAGTTTATAATAAAAGAAGTTTTTTTTAAAAAAAAAAAAAAAAAAATTTTCGTTCATTTGAACGTACAAAACTTTAAAGTTCTTAATTTTTTTTCAGATTGATTGATAGTGTGAAATTACTCACTGAAAATATGTCTAATATATTGGGACAAAAAAGAAATGCCGAAGATGTACTTGCTGAATTAATTAAATCAAGAAAAGAAATAGAGAGAGAATTAATGATAAAACAAAATACGCTTTATGTAGATCGCGATCGTTGTCTTTCGATAAGATCTTATTATCCAAGTGTTCAATGTTTAGGTGGATATTAAACTTTTTTTTTTTTTTTTTTCTTTGTAAAATTGAAAATTATGCCTCACTGCTCAAGAAATAATTCTAAAATAAAAAAATGATTGTAAAACTAATTAATTAGTTATAATAATTATTAAAATAATTACAATTAACGAATATTTGATAAAATAAATATTAAATGATCTATAAATTTTTATAACAAAAATACCGGAGACAAAAAAACAAATCAAAATTTACGATAAAAAAATGTTAAAGAAAAGGAAATATACACTGAAAAAAAAATTTATTTGAATCAAATAAAAAGTATTTGATCCAAATACATCATTTACTTGTCTATTATCCAATAAATATTTATTTGAACCAAATACACATTTACTAAACCTAAGTATTTTATTTTATCGTATCAAATAAATAGTTATTTGAATCAAATACATAATATTCAAATCAAATAAATGGAATATTCAAAGCAAATAAATAATTATTTGAATCAATTATGAAAATTATTTCATTCAATATTCGCATATTTTTTGATTCAAACAAATATTTATTTGCAACCCCTTCGTGCCCAGGCAAAACTGAGCATATAAAAAAACGAAACTAAAGTGGTTCCTATAGTTTTTGGGGTCGCTGATTACGAATCTGGTGTTAGTTTTTGAAAATTCAAAATGGCGGATTCAATATGGCGGACGAAAAAATAAAAATTGTTCGGATTCGCTTGAAAATTGTCACTCGGGGGTTTTCGAGGTCGCTGATTACGAATCCGATATTAGTTTTTCAAAATTCAAAATGGCGGATCCAATATGGCGGACGAAAAATCAAAATTGTTTGGATTCGCTTGAAAATGGTTACACGGGGGTTTTCGGGGTCGCTGATTACGAATCCGATATTAGTTTCTCAAAATTCAAAATGGCGGATCCAATATGGCGGACGAAAAATCAAAATTGTTCGGATTCGCTTGAAAATGGTCACTGGGGGGTTTTCGGGGTCGCTGATTACGAATTTGGTATTAGTTTCTCAAAATTCAAAATGGCGGATCCAATATGGCGGATGAAAAATCAAAATTGTTTGGATTCGCATGAAAATGGTTACTCGGGGGTGTTCGGGATCGCTGATTACGAATCCGATATTAGTTTTTCAAAATGACGGATGCAATGTGATGGACGTATTTTTAAAAGTTATTAACAAAAAAAATCCAACGCACTTCTTGCGGAACCTCAAGGGTGGTGTGGAAGGCCGTTACAGACATAAAAAAATAAACTTCTATTGCTGTTATTCTTTTAACTTATTTTAATTTGTTTAATTTAAATTAGTTTCAATCGATTGTTAACGATTATTAAAAATTGATCTGCAACATTGGATTTAAGACTCAATTTTTGAAAACTAATACCAAATTCGTAATCAGCGACCCCGAAAACCCCCCAGTGACCATTTTCAAGCGAATCCGAACAATTTTGATTTTTCGTCCGCCATATTGGATCCGCCATTTTGAATTTTGAGTAACTAATATCGGATTCGTAATCAGCGACCCCGAAAACCCCCGAGTGACCATTTTTAAGCGAATCCGAACAATTTTGATTTTTTCGTTCGCCATATTTGATCCGCCATTTTGAATTTTCAAAAACTAACACCGGATTCGTATTCAGCGACCCCAAAAACCCCCCGAGTAACCAGTTTCAAGCGAATCTAAAATGTTTTAAAAATTCGTCATTTTTCATAATTATTTATATTTTTTTCTGAACAATATAAATTTTTAAACAAAATGTGAGTTCCATTTTTTGAAAGCTCTGTCCTTCCTGAAAAAAATGCACCAAGTTTGAATAAAAAATATTTAATCTGTTTAGAGTTCTGGAGGTTTTTGTAGGTGGGACATATATGTCCCATGGGCACGAAAGGGCTAATAAAATATTTTTCTTGAAACAACTAAAAATTTTCTTGAATCAAATATTCGATTATTTGTCATAAGTAATTGTTTTAATTGAAACTAAAACCTCTTTAATTGCGATAATTATTATTTTATTTGATCCAAATACATAATTTATTTGAATAAAATGTAAGAATTTTTTGATTCAAATAAATCAAAATTTGAATTGAATAAATAACATATTTATTTACTAATTCTTCCATTTCTAAATTAAATTCTTACTCAAATAAATAAATTCATTATTCTCATTACACTTAAATATTTAATTGATCAAAATATTTTATTTTCCTTTAAATAAAATAGTGTATTAACATTAAATAACGCATTATTTATATTAAATAATTTAATTAATTAGAATTAATAAATTTATTGTATCAAATACTTTTTATTTGTATATTAAAAAAAATTTAATATTTAAGTGAAATAAATAAATTAATAGTTGCAAGTAACTCATTATTTTCGTTTCAAATAAACATTTAATTGATTAAAATATCTCTTTATTTGTCTTGATAAAATAGTGTATTAGTAGTAAATAATTTAGTTGACTTGAATCAGTTAAATAAAGTTATTATATCAAATACTTTTTATTTGTTTCAATAAAACGAAATATTTGAGTGAAATAAATAAATAAATTGTTTCAATTAAATCATTATTATCGTTTTAAATAAATATTTAATTGATTGAAATATTTTTTTATTTGTCTTGATAAAAAATAGTGTATTAGGATTAAATAACGAATTATTATTTGTATTAAATAATTCAGTTTATTTGAATCAATTACATAAATTTATTGTGTCAAATAATTTTTATTTTTATCAAATAAACGAAATATTTGAGTGAAATAAATGAATGAATAGTTTCAAGTAACTCATATTATTTGTATTAAATAAATTCATTTATTCAATTCAATTAATTATTTAATTCAACCAAATACGATTTATTTGGTTTAAATAAATGCGATTCAAATAATTCAAGTTATTTGAATTAAATACATATTTTTTTGATCCAAATAAAAAGTATTTGAACCAATTAAATATTTTTCAAATAATTTGAAGTATTTGAATTAAATAAATTTTTTTCAGTGTATTAAAATATTATTGAGATAAATTGAATAATATGTTAATTTGAATAATATTAAAATATATTATTATATTATATCTATTATATATGTTTTATTCATATTGCTTATAACAATAATGTCAACAGTCGAAAATTTTTCAGAGGTTATGAATGTTATTTTGAATAATTTGTTCCTAATTATCGTCCTAATAAATATATGTATATATATATATATATATATATATATATATATATATATATATATATATATATATATATATAATACACACATGATAATTATCAAAAATTTACAATATTAACAAAAAGTAACTTACCTCATAAATAATCACGAACTGTTTTACTTTAATTCTTTAATTTATCGGATTAATTATAACGCTTTAATTTCTTAAGTTTTGATTATTGTTTTCATTTTATATTTTAACAACAATCACACATCAGGTATGCCAACCGATAGAAAAATAATCACTCATTTTATTTTTTTTACTTTATTTTTAAATTAAATTAATTATTTATTGAAATAAATATACAAAAATTTACTTGTATTTTAATATAACACATTTCTGATGATAATTTGTTTTTTCATTTAAAAAAAAAAATTAATTTCTATATAAGGATAAAAAAAAATTTTATTAATTTTTTGTCGATAAAGTAGAAGTCTTTACCCGGCTAACATCTAACCTAAAAAATTTCAATAAAATTCTGTAAACGTGGATCGCGTTTATATATATACATATATATGTGTCAAAGTTTAGTTTGTTTATACTATAACGTAGAGGAGAATAGGTCAATGTTAATTAAAATTAAATAATATAGTATTAACAATATGCGGTGCTACAATAGAAATTATTTTTTATGTTTATTGTCCTTATTATTTGGATTAAAGGGAATTATTTGTGTGTCTAATAATGAAGAAACTTGTTACTCCTACGCAGGTGGATCAGTTTATCCTGCGGGTGCAAAGCATGCTGGACATCAATTACAAACAACAAAAGCAGTTAGTAAGTTCCTCTTTTTTTATCATTGTTTTTATGCTAATCTCTAATATAGCTTATCGCTCGCTTCCTCTTTATTCGTTATTGCAAACTATATCTCGTGTCATTTTTATCATTTATTTTCTTTAAAACAATATTTTTTAATATATATATTTTTTTTAATTAATACTAATTTAAAAATAATTATTTAAGTAAATTATTTTAAAAGTAGTATAATAAAATTATTTTATAACATATTTCAAAATAAGTAATTTATCGTTTGTGGATTGAAAGAATTAATTTTTGTTGAATTTAATAAATTAATTAATCAATTTTATATTATTATTATTATTTTATTTAATTATTTTAGATATTAATATTGTTTGAAATTTATAAATATGAGAAATTAGAATATAATTTAAAATTAATATTAAATAAAATATTTTTTTTTGAGAAAAAAATATGTGAAATTTTTTTTAAATTTAATTTATTTTGATTATAATTTTTACCTTATTTACCTTTTTCACGATTATTTTAACACACTCTGAAGGTTATTGATAAAAATATTTTTCAAGTGTTTAATCATAATATATACATAGATAAAAATGACCGACTTTTTATATGTAATTCACCTGAAATATTTTTTTTATGAATACAAATTTAATAATTTTTTAAATTAAATTTTTTGATCAATTTTTTCAATTGGAATATGTAATTTTTTTCTGTTAAAATAAGTCATGGCTAAAATAAAATTTTTTTATATGAATATAAACTTGTATTTATTGCAAAATAAATTTTTTTTTTCTTCTATATAAGAGTTTTTGAGAAATATAAATTGCATAATATTTTTTTTATTATACTATTTGAATAAAATTGTAGAAATTAAAAAGAAAAATAATATTATTCTTGAAGGTCTATATGCTAATTCGAGAATAGTAATTGGCAATAATCCAGTATTTATTTAGAATACAAAAATATCTTTCAATAGTGAAAATATTTCCTCTGAGAAGGGTCAGAAAACTGTAATACTTTAGTACCTACTTATTGCAACAAAAAAAAAAAAAAAGGGAGAACATTTTTTTTTTTGACAATGAGATTTGTCATAACGATAAAATTAATATTTCTAATAATTGTGAATCTTGTTTTTAAATCATTTGCTAATTTAATTACAGTTGGAAAACCAGCACCATCATGGGAAGGAACAGCAGTTGTTAATGGAGAATTTCACGATATCAAATTGTCTGATTTTCATGGAAAGTATCTCGTATTTTTCTTCTATCCCTTAGATTTGTAAGTATTAAGATATAATATTAAAATTTATTAAAATAATCAATTTCTTTTTTTTATTCTTTTTATTTAAAAATTTTAATAATTAGTAATTCGATTTTTCAAAATATTTCCATCATTGAATATCTATTTTAATTATTTATTTTTGTCTGATATTAATTAGAAATATTTATTTTCAATTTAAATGAAAGAATTTGAATATTGAAATAAATATTAACGTAAAATATTTATTTAAAATTAATTAAATTTTAATTTTTTAAATTTTATTTATTTAAAATTTAATTTGCTGTGTTTAATTTTATAATATTCACTTTTTTTCCCCCCCGTAGCACATTTGTGTGTCCAACGGAAATTTTGGCATTTTCTGATCGTGTTGAAGAATTTAAGAAATTAAATGTACAAGTTGTGGCAGCCTCTGTTGATTCACATTTCACTCATTTAGCGTGGATTAATACGCCACGTAATGAAGGTGGTTTACAGAATATTAAAATTCCGTTACTTAGCGATCTTACACACAAAATAGCCAAGGATTATGGAGTTTATTTGGACGATTTGGGACACACACTTCGGTAATATAAAAAATTTATTTTTCATTTCTTTGAAAATCGTAAATAAAATTTCTGCTTTTTTTACACTTTTTATGATTACGTTAAAAATTAATTTTAAAAAAAATGAGAAAATATCACTTTAGAAGCAAATAATAAGTTCAAAAACTTTGCAAAAATTATGAGATTTTAAAGAAAAAATTAAAACAAATTTATTAATATAATTTTAAAAAATACCTACATTTTTTATTTTTCAAGTAAAAAAATTATTTTTATTATTAAGTTAGAGAGCTGATAAGAATTATTTATTTCTTTTTTTTTATTAAAATAAAATTAATTTTTACTTAACATTTTTCAAAAGTTTATTCTTGAGCAGTTTGTTTTTCCATAAATATTTAAACGATAAATTTAATAATAAGAGGGATAAATACATCAGAAAATATTAATATTTTTATTCAAAGAAAATAACATTTTTTGAATTAATATTTTTCAAATATTGGTTGACTTCTAAAAACTCAATAATTCCGTAATAATTTTTTAATATAAATATAACTTTTTTTTAAAATTCAGAACTTTCATAAAAAAAACTAAAATTATCCAAATTAAATTGTTTTTATTTTTGAAAACTCCAATAACTTTGTAATAATTTTTATAGTAAAATTTCTGAAATAAATAAATCGATATAATTTATAGTAAAATTTCTTAAAAATAAATAAATCGATATTTTTTTAAAATCTTCTATGACAATTTTGACATAGTTAAAGATTTTTTAACGAATAATTGAAAAAAGTTGTGTTTTAAAAATTCTTTTATATCTAAAAAGGTCAATAATATTTGTATAAAATGTCAATATTAAGTATTGGACAAAAAAAGGATTTTTAAAAATTTTGAATATACAAAATTATATCTAAAAACTATATCAAATATAAAATTTAAAAAAAAAATGTTTAAATAATATTAATATTAAAGACTCTATGATTTAAATCATAATTTGACATGATGTGAATTCTATTTTCATACTTTTTTTTTGTAAAATTTAATTTTTTCCTTTTAATTTGTTAAAATAAAAAATTATTAAATTTAGAGCGTTGTTCATAATCGATGGAAAAGGCGTTTTACGACAAATAACAATGAATGATCTTCCGGTTGGAAGATCCGTTGATGAGACGCTCAGATTAGTTCAAGCATTCCAGTATACAGATGAACATGGAGAAGTATGTCCTGCTGGTTGGAAACCTGGACAGGATACTGTAAGCATTTTTTTTTCCTAATGCAATAAAAAAAAATTTAATCAATTTTTTCTTTATTTTTTTTTAGAAAATAGTAATAAAAATTTTCAAAAATTAATTAATTTCTTAGAAAATATTAATAAAAATGTTTTTTTAAATTTATTAATTTAAATATTTTTCTTTTTTGCTAATAAATATTAATATTTATTAATTACAATGATTAAGATAATTAATTAAAATATAAAAATAAATTTTTTCAGATCATTCCAAATCCCAAGGATAAAATAAAGTTCTTCGCTAAACGTGATCTCTAAATATAAAATAAATAGTAAATATTTTGTATGATAATTAAAAATTTCTGACTTTTGAATAACAGCCAACCGGTGAATATTGTGTGATTATTATAATAATGTTACATTATACATAATTTTTATTCAGTGACAGTTGATTCCGTTTTATGATACGATTTTTTTTTTTACAATCAAATATAATTTTATAATTATCTTTAAATAAGTTGAGTGACAATTTTTCATACTTTGTAAAAATATAAATAAATAAAAAAAAGGAGTGTGAATATTTTTAAAAATTGCCTTTTTTTATTTAAATTATTAAACTGGTACGATATTTTAATAATAATAATAATAATTTACATATTTATATTAAATTTCATAATTTTTTTATAATTTTAAAACTGCTTTTTACTGTCATTATTTTTATACTTAAAAAATAAATTTAAATTAAGTATAAGTGCAGTTCAAATTTTAATTTCTTCTAAATTTCGAAATTATGTTAAAAAATTTAATTACTGTGAAATTATTTTAGACCATTTGCAATTTAAAGAAACATTTTTTTTGTAATAAAAGAAAAATTTTTGAATAATCCGTACGATTCATTTTTTAACATCTTGAAAAAAACAATTTTTTTTACTACTTTGATATTTTTTTGTTATAGAAATTTTATTTAAAAAAAAAAATTAAAATTTTTCAAAATTCATGCAATTATTATATTTTACATTGATTTTTCAAAAAAAAAATGTTAATATTACATTTTTTTTTATATATTTGCTATTATTTTTAACAATTTTCGTGTACGACTATTATTATTTTTTTTATAATATTAATAATAATTAATTAAATTTACCTGCTAAATTTTGTTAAATAATTTTAAGTTTTCCCGCTATAATTTAAAAATAAGTATCCATGCGCATGCGTAGTTCCACGTTCCTTATTGTTAGAAAATTTTTCAGTTCCACGATTCCGGTTAAATTTCTATCGTTTCCCTAATCCTAATGTGTAACACGGAAGTTTTTTTTTATGTGTAATTTTGACGGGTTGTCAATTTTTATCTAATTTCGACAATACAAAATAAGTAAAAACATTTTGTATTTCATTTTATTGTTTTCATCGAGCGTGTCCATTGAGAAATAGCAAAATGCCACGAATTATGATAAAGGGCGGCGTTTGGCGCAACACGGAGGTATGTTTCTTTAGCCTAACCTCAAAAAAAAAGAAAAAATTACGCCTCTGTAGTTCTCAATTTTTAAACGCCAAATAATTATTCGAAATTAAATTAAAAAATAACTTTTTATTTTAAAAATATATTATACATTAAAAACTTTTTCTTAAGAGTTTTTTTTTTTGTTTTTCTCTTTCATAATTTAATTCAATATTAATTTATGTTGCTACTTGATTTTGCACTTAAACATTTTGTTGATTACTTAATTTGTTTTTAATTATTATTATATTATTTATATTATATTAATTAATATTAATTTTCTGAAATTTATGGTCAATTAATTGAAAATACTTTCAAATAAAATTTCTTTTTTTTTTACAAATGGAAGAACATTCTCAATTTTATAACCATGAATTCTTTTTTTTCAATTTCTTCTTTTCTAAGAGTTTCTATTTTCTTAAAATTTTCTTTATTGTTAATTTTCATTTATTTAAAACGATGAAGAATTTCTAATTTTTTTTTGGGGAATTCCTAAAATCCTCTATTTTTTCTTCAATTTATTCGACTTTTTATTTTCTTTTATTTTTGAAACCATTTTTTCATGCATATTCTCATTTTCTGAACAAAAATTTCTTTTTTTTTCGGAAAAACATCTACATCAAAGTTTTTTGTAGAAGTTTTTTCTTCTTTTTATTAAATTGTATCTCCTTTACATAGTGATTAAATAAATAAATTATGTTTGAAATTTTTCTTTGACTTTTACAAATTGTTCAAAAATTTACCAAATTTTCGTAAATAATATTATTTTTAAAATTATTTAATTTTTTTTTTAATTTTCTTATAAATTTTAATTTCAATTTGAAAAAAATTACGTTAATTTTAATTAATTTTTTTTATATATATTTATTATTAAATGTCTTATTTATTGAATAATTTTTTTTACAAATATGTAAAATTTTATTATTGTAAACAAAACATCACAAATTAAACTGTTATTTTTCAGATAATATCAAATTTTAAAATTGTAATTTAATGTTTTAAAGTTAAAAATTGAATATCAAATATAAAAATACAAAGCTAATGTACGCAATGTTTATGTTGATAAACGATTTTTGAAGAAAAATTATTTTAAAATGAAAAATTTTATAATTTTTTGCCTAAAAATTAATTCTGGTAGTTTACATTAATCAAGAAATTGTAAAAAAAAATTATAGAATTTTTCATTTTAAAAAATTATTTCTTAAAATATTGTTTATCATAAACGTTGCGTACTTCAGCTTCGTTAAAAATTAAATACTATTTCAAAAAAATAACTATAAAAAACGGAATGTTTTGAATTATTAGATAATTGTTCTTGTAAATGTAAAAATATATTTTTCATGGCTACTTTTTTTTTTAAACTGAAAACTGCTTTTTATTTACAAACTAAGGCTTCTTTCTAAGAAATCTTTTTTTTTTTTTTTTTTTTTTTTAATATAATATCAAATCAGTTTCTTTATTTAAATAATATTTGTTTAAATTAAATAATTTTTTAAATTTCACCAGGATGAAATATTGAAAGCGGCTGTTATGAAATATGGAAAGAATCAATGGAGTCGTATTGCTTCATTGCTTCATAGAAAATCGGCGAAACAATGTAAAGCACGATGGTTTGAATGGTTGGATCCAAGTATCAAAAAAACTGAATGGAGTCGCGAGGAAGATGAGAAATTGTTACATCTTGCAAAATTAATGCCAACGCAATGGAGAACAATTGCGCCAATTATTGGACGAACAGCAGCGCAATGTTTAGAGAGATATGAATATTTATTGGATCAAGCGCAAAAAAAAGAAGAGGGCGAGGATGTATCGGACGATCCAAGAAAATTGAAACCAGGTGAAATTGATCCAAATCCTGAGACAAAGCCAGCGCGTCCCGATCCAAAGGATATGGATGAGGATGAACTTGAAATGCTCTCGGAGGCACGAGCAAGATTGGCAAATACACAGGGGAAAAAAGCAAAACGTAAAGCACGCGAGAAACAATTGGAAGAGGCAAGAAGGCTTGCGGCATTGCAAAAACGTCGTGAATTGAGAGCCGCTGGAATTACTGTTAATCAGAAAAATAAACGAAAACGAGAAATGAATTATAATTCGGAAATTCCTTTTGAAAAACGTCCAGCTTCTGGATTTTATGATACTTCAAATGAACATGTCGATCCATTGGCGGCTGATTTTTCAAGATTGAGACAACAACATTTGGATGGTGAATCACGTCAGGAGGCAGAAATGATGGAGCGAAGAAAGGATAAACAAAAATTGAAACAACGCAAAGAAAATGATATGCCAATGGGTATGTTGAATAATGAGGAACCTGTGAAGAAGCGAAGTAAATTGGTTTTACCTGAGCCTCAAATTTCCGATAGTGAATTGCAACAAGTTGTTAAACTTGGTCGAGCGTCAGAGGTTCGTTTTTTTTTTTTTTTTAGTTTATTTCTTGTTTTTCGTTGAAATAACTTTTCTTTTTTTTTCCCCCATCATCATCACAGGTGGCACGTGAAATAGTTTCTGATGGAGGTGCAACTGATAGTTTATTGGCAGATTATTCATTGACTCCAAATACTGCTGTGACACCAAGGACACCAGCCGTTCAGGATAGAGTTCTTTTAGAGGCACAAAATGTCATGGCTCTAGTTAATGTTGACACTCCATTGAAAGGTATCATTTCTATTTAAAAAAAAATTTAACATTAAAATAGATTTTTTTTTTTCATTATTAAAGTAGCGCAACGAAGAGAGATGACCAGCTGAAAGATTTAATGTATAACATAATAAATTATACTTTTAATGTTTTAAAAATAAAATTTACATATTTCGAAGATATATGTTAAAAATATTGAATTCTCTATGCTTAACAGGAGGATTAAATACGCCGCTTCACAATTCCGATTTTAGTGGCGTTGTTCCCGTTTCGAGTGCTGTTGTCACGCCAAATACACTTCTTGCAACACCTTTTCGTTCACAACGTGCCGATGGCACTCCGATAACTTCGTTCAACACTCCAAATTCTGTGCGAACACAAAATGGCGTTCTTGCACCAACTCCAATTCGCGACAAATTGAATATCAATTCCGAAGAAGCTTTAGAGGGATCAGAAACTCCCGCTATCAAAAAACAGGTTAAAAATAAGGAATAATTTTTTTTTTAACTATTGGATTTTTTATATATTAAAATATTTTTAATTTAGAATTTTTAATATTATTAAATATAAATTTATAATTTTTTGTTAATTAATTTATTATAAATTCATTTATTTAATGGTTTATTATTATTATTTTTTTGAGTTTTTCTTTATTATTTCGTACTACTTTTTTCTTTTATTTCTTATAAAAAATTTAAAATTTAATTATTGAAAATTTCTTGATTATTATTTTTTTTTTTCATTAGGCAAAGGAACAATTGTGGGCTGGACTTCGTTCATTGCCAGCGCCTCGGAACGATTATGAAATTGTTGTTCCTGAGGACGAAACAGATGAAATGGGTACAGCGTCTGTTAATGATATTATTGAGGATCAAGCCGATGTCGATGCAAGAAAACAACAGGAAATTATTGAACAAAGTAAATCAAAATTTTCTATTAAAAAAAAAAAAAAATTCAAAACATTTTTTTTAAATTTCTTTTTTTTTCGTTTCCAGAGCAGAGAGAATTGTCACGACGATCGCAAGTAATACAAAGGGACTTGCCACGACCAATAGATGTGAATCTTAATATATTGCGACCAGCCTCGGATTCATTGAGCGATTTGCAAAGAGCCGAGGAATTAATTAAACGTGAAATGATAACAATGTTGCAGTACGATACATTAAATAATCCAGTGGCGTTGAATAAACGTTCAAATAATATTTTGTCCCAAGCACAATCGTATTTAAATTCTCATCCATATAAAAATTATGAGAAGGATGATTTGGATGATGCGAAAAAATTGATTGAAAATGAAATGAATATTGTTCGCAAAGGCATGGATCATGGTGACATCAGTTTGGAAGCATATTGCACCGTTTGGGAGGAATGTTTGTCACAGGTATTTAGTTCAAAATTTCATTAACTAATTTCTTTAAAATGAAAAGAAAAAATTTAAAAATTTTAAATCATCCTGAATTACAAGTCTTGGATAGACTTTAAAGTACAAAAAAAATCGTTTTAATCGATTTACATTCCAAAAAAAGTCGAAAAAGTCATTTTTTTATATTAACTAAATTTAATTAGTTAATAAATAATTTACTTTAAATAAATAATGTTATTGGATATTAAATTCATTTTATTAATTCCTTAATAAAAATAATTCTATAAGAATATTATGAAGAAAATATATTTCGAATATTTCTGAATCGAACTAAGACAAATTTTCAAAATTTTAATTAAGTAGGACAAATTTCTAAAAAAAAAAAAAATTCTTAAAGTTCTATTTCAAAAATTTTTTGAAGACTGATTTAAGCAATTTGTTTGAATTTAAAATTTTGTCATGCTATTTAGTATTAAATGATTAAACAAATTTTCCAACAATTGAGTTTTACAAAATTTTTTATTAAATTTTTTTTAAATAATTGAAATTCAGATGATTTTAAATTTGAAATAAATTTTTTGCAAATTTAAACTGTTTTGTTTTGTTTTTGTTTTTTTGTTTAATTTCTGACTGAATTTTTGATGAGTTACAATTGAAATTATTAGAAATAATTAAATTTTAAAAGGTTTTGTTAAATTTTAGACAATAATTAAATTTTAAAAGATTGAAAATAATTGGGTTTATCATATAATTTTAGATATTCTTTTTGAAAGTAATTTAAATTTCGAATATTTACAAATTAAATTTTTAAAAATAATTGAACTTCAAGTGATTTTTGTTGCTGAAGAATTTATTAGAAATTACAGACAAAAATTAAATTTCTAAAGTTTTTAATTCAAAAATACCGTCAGATAATTAAATTTTTGAAGAATATTATAAAAATCATTCAAAATAATTAAATTTCAAAATTGTTATAGTTAAAATTATTAAATTTCGAAATAGTTATAGTTAAAATTCTTAAATTTCAGAAAGTTTTATATAAAAAATTTTACAAACAATTAAATTTTAGAAAGTTTTAAATTGAAATTTTTGAAAATAATTGAATTTTAAGTGATTTTGAATTGAAACTTTTTATTTATTTATTTATTTTATTTATTTATTAATTTCAGACGGGTAGTAATTACACTGCCCATTAGTACAATGTACTGAATATTACAAAAAAAGAATTACAGTAATTATTGTGTGGCCACACTGGCCACACAATAATTACACAACAATTGAACAACAACAATTAAATACACAATAATTGAATTTCATAAAATTTTTAATAGAAAAATAGTTGTAATTGAATTTTTGAAGAATTTTATTAAAATTATTGACAATAATTAATTTAAAGAAGAATTTTTGTTAAAAATTTGTTAAATAATTGAAGTAAAAAAGAGTTGAATAAAATCTGCATTGTATACTAAAGAAGACATATTTTGTTTAAAAATTTTGTAACAAATGAAAAAAAAAGTCGCATTTTATTAAAATAAGTCAAAAAAAGTTCTACAATCCGAGACCTGAAATTATTGAAATTTTTTTAAATAATATTTAGGGCTTCATAAATTCGTCTAATCATAACAAATCTTTACAGATTTTAATTTATATAAAATTAATTTTAAAGCATTTTCAAGTACGTTTCAATACCAAAAAAATATTAAAAAAAAAAAAAAATTTTTTTTGATAAAAATTTATAAATAATTTTTTAATTAAATAAATTTTTAAAGATTTTCAATTCAATTTTTTGTTAATAATTAAATTTTAGAAGACTTAAAATTGAAAATTTTAAAAATATTTGAATGTATGAAAAAACTTTTTACAAATTTCTGAATTAAAAGTTATGAATAAGTAATGTTTTTAATTTGGAATTATTTTGAATAATTAAATTGTCGAAGAAGTTTCTTAAAATTTCTGAAAATGTCAAAATTTGCTAAGTTTTTTCAATTAAAATTTTTTTTGTTAATAACATAATTATATGAATATAATAGAAACGGTTCAATTTTTTTATGAGTTTCAATTGAAAATTTTTACATTATTTTAATTTTAAAAGATTTTAAAAATAAAATTTTTTAAAATAATTTAGTTTTTCAAAAAATTTATTCAAAATTCTAAAAAAAAAATTAATATTCTCAAAAATCTAAACTGAAAATAATTGAATTTATTTATTTGAGACAAATAAATAAATTGTCGAAGAATTTTAAATGAAAAATATTTAAATAATTGAATTGTATAAGTATTGAAAAATCATGGTTTTTTGATGTCCCAAAAGAAATTCAGGTTTAAATGAATGAAAAGCTATTACAGGGTGACTGACGGTCAGGGAAAAGTCAGGGAATTTTGTTGGTCAGGGAAATGTCAGGGAATTTCAGAAAATTTTATTCAAAGTCAGGGAAATTTCTGTAAATTTCTACAGAAATTAAAATTTTTTGTGAATTTAAAAATTTTTTAATCTAAAAAAACTTGAATGGTTTTTATTACCATTTGTTACTACCATTAGAAATTAATTTATTGTTAAATATGTCAGTAACCATATTTTTGTCCAAAGAAAATAGAAATAAGGTTATTAAAAAGTCAGGGAAAAATCAAAATTATTATTATTAAATAATATTAATATTATTAATTAAATTTATTATTTAGAAAAAAAAATAATTTTTTTTCTCAATTATTTTACAGATTTTATATCTAGAACCACAAAAGCGTTACACTCGTGCAACGCTTGTCTCGAAAAAAGACAGAATCGATGCATGTGAAAGGAAATTGGAAGAAAATCGAATGCTCATGACGGGCGAGGCAAAACGTGCGGCAAAAATGGAAAAGAAATTGAAAATTTTAACGGGAGGTTATCAAGGTCGCGCTCAAGCATTAGCCAAACAATTAAACGATACATGGACACAAATTGAAGAATTGAGACTAGAATTATCGACATTTAAATTTTTAAAAAGTCAAGAAGAAGCTGCATTACCAAGGCGAATAAATGCATTGGTAGAAGATGTTAATCGACAAAAAGAACGTGAAAAACAATTGCAAAGTAAATTTGCACAATTACAAAATATTTTGCCTGAAAGAATGATTCAAATTGAAGATAATGAAAGATCGGAGGAGAATTTTGGTAACATTTAAATTTATTACTCTTATATTCTATGTTTAGACTTTAGAATTCAATATATATAATTAACCTTTAAAAAAAAATCAAATTACACTTGTTATTTATTTTATTGTCCTTTTGTGAAAATTATTATTTTTATAATATTTACTTTACGTGCAAGAATTTTGATAATTTTTAGGAAGAAAAAAAAAATTTACTCCATAATAGAAATTTTATTATTTTTGTTTTAATTTCCATAACATATGAAGTTCATATATGCAAACACATTTTTTTATTTTAATATGAAATATTCTGTCACGAAACTGTAAATTTTTAAAAAATTTTTATTGTTTACATATTTTCATTCAAAAAGTTCACATAACACATAATTTCAAAAAAAAAACAAAAACTTTTAAAATTGATGCATTTTTAAACGAAATTATGAGCATTAAAAAATAGAAAATCATTAAAATTCTGAAATTTTGAAAAATTCACATCTCGTAAACAGCATGCTAAATAAAATTGGGAAAAAAAATCAGAAAAACTATTCTTAATTAGATTAAGGGACTTTTTAATTATTATTAGAACAACTGTTTACCAAAATATTAAACCAATCCAATAAATTGTTTTGTTTTTTTTCTCAGAGAATTAATTATTATTAATTAATTATTAATTAACTATAATAATTTCCGTATTGATTCATTCATTCATTCCGTCTGTCCACACTTGAAGTTAGTCGTATTTTGTTCCTTTTGTTTTTCTAAAATTTTGACAATTCTTGATTTCGTAATATTTTATGGTTAACGCGACGGATATTTTTATTCATCGTCATTAATTAAGTCATATACTAAGTGACTGTTTAAAGTAAAAAAAAAATATTGTTCATTGTGTGCAGCACCAGTATATTTCCTACTTGGTATTTATATAAAAAAAAAGTTTCAATTATAATATAATTTTTATTATTATTTATAAATTTATTATATTATATATACATTTTTTTATATAATGATTATTACAGATAATTAGAACATTTTAACTTATAATTATTATTTCTTTCATTATTTTTTCATTATTCATTATTATTTATTATATATTATTATTCATAAATTTATTATTATTAATTATTAAATTGTTATATTTCTTTATCTGTAAACAATATAAAAATAGTTTGCTTTTTTAAAAAATTTTCTTTTTGATTACATAATTTTTTAATATTTATTAATTATCAAATTAATTAAATTTTTTGAAAAAAAAACATAAATTAAAAATTTTCATTTGCAACGAAATATTTATAGAAAATACAAAAAAAATATTTAGCAAAACTATGTTTTTGTAATTTCAAAGATTATAAAAAAATCATCGAACATTGACTTTCTTTATCAAAAATATTTATTTCTAAAATTTTAATATTTATATTTTAAAATTTTTACAAATCTTATTTTTTTTACTATCAATTCACAAAAAAATGATCTTACTCGTTATATACATTCTGTCAATAAGAAAATTCATTCGTCAGTAATATCTTTTATCCCAACAATGTCAGCTTTTTCGTATACATTATACATAAGTGACAAAGAATAATTTAATCATAATTGACACAACATAATTAATTTTTAAATAAAAGATGGTGAAATTTTTTTGGCCTATTGGCTTTTTAATAATTATCAATATATATAAAATTTCACATGACGCGTTTCGACACGATTTCGTGTCCTCATCAGATATAAATCTGTAAAAATGGATCATATAATATTATTTTAACTAATTGTATGTATACGACGTTAGTATAAATAATGAATATAAATTCAATTAACATACCATGCGAAAATTAATTATAAATTTGTTTCTTGAAGATTTTTCTGACATGTTATCTTTCGTAGAAAGAATTTCAATAACTGTTTTGACATGACGACAATTTCATAAATATATTAGTTAGTAAATAAAGTTTTTAAATGTTTTTGTATAAAAAATGATGTAGTCTGTAAAGAAATTAAGAATCATCTATCATTTATGATAATTTAAGGTTAATAACATTAAAGTATTTTGTTTTTATCTTATTACCTTGTTTTCATCATATAAATAGTTAAAATACTTTAATGTTATTAACCTTAAATTATCATAAATGATAGATGATTCTTAATTTCTTTACAGACTACATCATTTTTTATACAAAAACATTTAAAAACTTTATTTACTAACTAATATATTTATGAAATTGTCGTCATGTCAAAACAGTTATTGAAATTCTTTCTACGAAAGATAACATGTCAGAAAAATCTTCAAGAAACAAATTTATAATTAATTTTCGCATGGTATGTTAATTGAATTTATATTCATTATTTATACTAACGTCGTATACATACAATTAGTTAAAATAATATTATATGATCCATTTTTACAGATTTATATCTGATGAGGACACGAAATCGTGTCGAAACGCGTCATGTGAAATTTTATATATATTGATAATTATTAAAAAGCCAATAGGCCAAAAAAATTTCACCATCTTTTATTTAAAATTTTGGCTTCTCAAACTTATTAATTAAATAATTAATTTTTCTCGGCATTTCAAGTGGCGGCGGTTATGTTGGCGATACTAGAATTGATTTATCAACATTTACACCGCCAATTGTAATTATTGGTTTTAATTTATGTTTTTCTTATCATCACTTTTTCGATAGGTTTTTTCTTGGGTTTTCATTGTTTGTTATACCGTCAACAATCGAACTAATAGTTTTACAAGTTTATTAAATTTAAAAATTAACTTAGCTTAATTATTTTTGCTGTATTAACTAATTATGAGCTGGCTTAACTAAAAAATTATTATTTATATAACATCAAACTCATTTTTTTCTGTGTATAAATAAATGATAACGTGAAAATTAGAAATATACCTATTATTAATTTATTACTCCACTGATGCAGAATTATTATTATTATTATTCACAGTTTTCCTAAAAGTATCAAATTGAGACCAAAAATTGCATCAAATCTTTGCAACGTTTTGATGCACATAAGTTATAACAAAAAGAGATCGTTTTGTGTATCATTTTTAGAAATGATACACGAAACGGTCTCATTTTTTGATGCAAAAAATTTAATCAATTTATATCAATCATGGCCGAATTGAATCGACTCAAAATTAAACGAATTTTTTTCAGATATTTTGGTAATAGTACAATTGCGGAGACCATTTCACTATTTAATTTGAAAATGAAAATAACAGAAAATCAAAGACAATGTGCAATTCGATAATTTAAAAGTGACAGCTTATAAACCTAACCTAAAATGCATGAGAAAAAATTTGTCGATAAAATCAATATAGCCGAGCTTTTTAGAAGGTAGATGGCAGCACTCATCTATTTTCTTTCTTTAAATTTTTTCTGAATCGTTTTTATAAAAAGCAAAACTGCCATCTACCTTCTAAAAAGCTCGGCTATATTGATTTTATCGACAAATTTTTTCTCATGCATTTTGGGTTATGTTTATAAGCTGTAACTTTTTAATTATCGAATTGCACATTGTCTTTGATTTTCTGTTATTTTCATTTTCAAATTAAATAGTGAAATGGTCTCCGCAATTGTACTATTACCAAAATATCTGAAAAAAATTCGTTTAATTTTGAGTCGATTCAATTCGGCCATGATTGATATAAATTGATTAAATTTTTTGCATCAAAAAATGAGACCGTTTCGTGTATCATTTCTAAAAATGATACACAAAACGATTTCTTTTTGTTATAACTTATGCGTGCATCAAAACGTTGCAATAGAAAAAGATACAACCAAGTTTACTGTGTATTATTATTATTATTTTAAAATAACCATTGCATTCAAAGTTGGAAGCGCGCATGTAATTTTGCTAGTACCATAATAATTACAATTTTTGTTTAGGACAATATTTTTAAAATAATAATTAATTGGATAATTTAATATCCGCAATAGCATCCATAATTTTTTGATACCATTCGTATTTATCATTTGTCTCATTTACAATATATTTTAATCTAATTCGAAGAACATAGCCCAATCCAGTTATATTCATATAATTTGAATCTACAAATGAAAATTCAGTGCCAGGTAAAAGGATTGATTTAGTTTGCTCAACCGCTGTGTAATACATTTGATTTATTTTAGCTCTTAAGTAAGGTTTGGAAAATGACATTTCAAATAAAATATTTTCAAAACCCTCTTTTTTGTTTAGAATTGTATTTGCATTAGTCACAGTAGGTACTGCTGTGAAGGTAAATTTTTCTAATGTATATTTGTAATCATGAGAAAACAATTTTTTTGATGAGTCCATATGCATAAATTCAACTGTAGACAAAACTAAATCAAAATTTTTGTCTGGATCGTCAGATTGTCTAATTGCTAAATTATATAGAGCAATTTTCATTTGTTTTGCTTCATTCGTGTCACTTTTTATTCTTCTGTATCCAGTTGTAGCAAAATTTCTTAAAGCATAATAATCTTCAAATGTTGCAGAAAAATATTCATTACGAGATTTGTATATTATCAAAATTTCATTTAATGTTGTTTTCTTTTCAATTAATTTTCTTTCTTGTTGAGTATAAAGTTGATTTATTCTATTTTCAGCATCTTCAAATTTTAAATATTTTGAATCTAACCATTCTTTGTATCGTAATGTAAGAAAATCATTTCTATGCTCTATTATATATTGTTTTCCATAAAGTGGAGTTAGCAAATTCGATTCACTTTTCCATTTTCTAACAAATTCATCAACAAAAAAATTTTCATCTGGAAATACATAATTATCAATTACTTTAATTAAATCAGCTTTTGAAGGATATAACATATCATTTCGGAACATGTTTAAAATTTTTGTTTGAATCTCTTCTTGTTTTTTCTTATTTTTTATTCTTGGACACAGATTTAATTGAGGTTGTGGTTCACTCTCATAATTGCAATAAATTAAATTATATTCATCTACATCTGTGGCACTAAATCTAAGTCTATTATAATCGTACTGAAGTTTATAATCAATTTCATATAAAAATTGACGGGTTCGATGTAAAGATGTTGAATTAATTATTTCAAATATTTTTTCATCAATTGCAATAATTTTATATAAAAGTAACAACAGAATATTTTCCCCATCAGATTGATGAATAGTTCGTAAACTTGCAATATTATAATCGCTTAACGTAACAAATTTATAACCGTAGCCGGAATCACATCTAGATATGAATATGTCGCTGCATTCGAATTGGGACATAACAGTTAAATTTAAATCTAAATAATTAGAATGTTTTGTTAAAGGCATAACGTAACGATTTAAATATTTTCCAATATTATACATCATACTGAATAATGATACGAGTTCCAAAGAAGTAAAATTTTTAAATGTTTCCACATTTTTACGAAGTATTTTCAATACATTATTATTCTTTAGTACAATATTAAACTTAGGATTAGATAAACGTAATAAATTTTGCAGATTTATATCCAGAGTTATATTAGCAAATTTTGAAAGTTTTTCATATTTTATGTAGTCATCAAAATTTTCTGATATAGTATCCACGTTCATACCAATAATAAAAATAAGTAAGTTTTTAAGACTTAATGTTTTTATAATTGTACCTAACAATGTCAAGATAGATTGAGTATCTTCTTGTACTAAATTTATAGATATATTATTAAAATTATGCATAATATGCATATCCAGTAGACAAGGATCTTTTTTGTTACTATTAAAATCTGTCCCTGATAAACATTTGTAATAAGCTATTAGAGGTAATCCAAATTCTTTCCACCAGTCAATTTTTAATCGTCCCTGTCGACTTGACAATAGTAATGTTTTTAGTCTTAAACTTTTTCTTTTTACTATATTTTCTTTAATTTCATTTAATTGCTGAGTAAAGGAAACTTTTTCGTCTTGTTTTTTGATAGGAGGACGATCCGATTGTGGTAAAGAGTCAGGAAGATGGTCAACTTTATCAATTCTGTGATTATAGTTTTCTCGTATTACAACATAATAATTTGTAGTGCCATTTGCAGGGAAGTAGATTTCAAGAAAATCATTTGATTGGATGCTCGGATCGTAAAAATCAGTAACAACAATATTATCTCTTAATTTGATAATTACTTCAGTATCACGAATCGATGAATGAAAGTAATTTTCAAATGCTTTTGCAATTGATTCGTTTTCAAATTTTTGATATGTGTTAACTATATTAAAAATTTTATTAGCAAAGTAGACTTCAAGATCTGGTAAATACTCTCCCATTTTACATGCAAAATTATGGGGATTATTTTCATATGCTGAAACTCTATCAATTTTCACCTCTTCGGGTTTTCTTCCACAATAAAAATCAGCATCTATAAAATATCGAGCGTAGGTGGAAAATGTTTTAAAATTGGAAAGTTCAAAATGAAGTTTGTACTTTGTGTCTTTTTTTAAAACAGTATATATTTTATAATATATCGTATCTAGATATGTAAGAAAGATATTATAAGCATTACGCCAGTGTTGTGGATCAAATACAATGGTTGTTATTTTTTCTTGATTAAGTTTCTCTTTTTGATTTTGAACATAGACAAAAAGCGCTGGCAATGCAAAAGCTGTTACTTTTAATTTATCAAATTTTTCAACAATAATATTTTGTTCAATTAAAAGTCCAATTATTAAATATTCCTCAAAAAGAGTTTCATTATTTAATATTATTCTTTCATTTGATTCAGTAGTGAAATAATAGTCAATATTTTGTCTTCCGGATCGAAGTAAAATTGCACCAGCTTGTGCATAAATATAATCTAATGACGTCAATTTGAGATTAGTTTTTGGTTGTGGAAATAGAGGTAATATTATATCTGTAAATATTCGATCTGCAGCTAAAGGTGTCAGTGACGAATGATTACCATATTCATTTTGAAATCTTATTTTTTCAAGAGTACTCCTTATTTCCTTTAGCAAAGTGTTTATATGTAAATCTTGAGATTTTCGAACAACATCTGCCAAAAATCCGTAAATATTTCCATATTTGGCAAATACAAGAGAAGTAATAATATACTCATACATGGCATTCACGAAAGTTCCATCAGGTATTTCACCAACTTTTTCCCCGTATAAGTCACTGCCTTGCAATAAACTTCGAATTAGATCGTCTTGATTATTTTGATTATCCTCTAAATATCTGTAAAAAGCGTTAACGACCATTATTGGTTTGTATTTGTCATAGTTAAATAAATAATTGTTGCTGTACAAGAAATCGCTGAGTAAGTTGAAGTAACTGTACATAGAAATCATATACACAGTTCCTAAGGGAGATGATAAAGTGTCAACACTCATTTTGACAATATTTTTTTGTTTCCTTAGTTTCTGTACAATCTGGAAACAGAAAAAGAACCAAAATCAAAAATTTTTTTAATTGCATCATTGTAATTGTGACTTGTCAAGGGGAGGGACCGCTGAAATCTAATAACTTATCGAAATTAAAGCTGTTTAAGGCCAGGTCCAAGTGAGGCAGCGCCATCTACATTAAAACTATAATTTTGGAAAATTTTCAACAGCCTTTTCTCGAAAACAAGAAGGTAAAATGCGTTTTTCTTTATGGATAATTGATTATTAGCAAGAAATACACCAGCTAAAACTTTTTTTGGGTTAAAATGATGAAAAAAATTTCATGTCGATAAATTAAATATGAGCAGTTTTTTCACAAAAACTGTAACAGTACAATTTCCATTTGGAAAATTAATAAACGTCAAACAATACACCAGCTAAGATTCACCAATCACGAAAATAAGAACAAAAAATTTTTATTAAATATTTAACATATTGATACTGCTTTACTGATTGTGACAGCCCTTTGGTAGATTATTATGTATTTCAGGTGGTTAGCAACAGCGCCAATCTCCTCCTTTCAGCAAAACTGCGAAACGTCTGGTGACATATATAACCTGCCAAACGGCTGTCATAATGAGTAAAATATGTTATGTTAAAATACTTTTTTTTTGTTATTTTCGTGATTGGTAAATCTTAGGTCGTGCATTTTTTAGCATTTATTAATTTTCCAAATGGAAATTGCATTTTTGATTGTAATTTCTGAGAAAGTACTGTTACAGTTTTTGTAAAAAAGTGCTCATATTTAATTATTATTGACATGAAATTTTTTTCATTATTTTAACTCAAAAAAAGTTTTAGCTGGTGTATTTCTTGCCAATAATCAGTTATCCATAAAGGAAAAAGCATTTTATCTTCTTGTTTTCAAGAAAAGGATAATGGAAATTTTCAAAAATTTTAGTTTCAATGTAGATGGCGCTGCCTCACTTGGACCTGGCCTTAAGGTTGTCAATTTTTTTTCTGACAATATTGAGTAATTAAAACTTTAATGTAGGCGGATCAAATTAAAAAACAATTAATTTAGAGTAACAATTATAGTGACCGATACAATATTTTAGTTAGAAAATAAATTTCAAATAAAATATTTGTGTTAAAATTTATAGTACATAAGTTTAAAATTAAAAAAACACTCCGATAAGAATTTATAATGTTAATTTAAAAATACATATATGTTATGAAAATTTATTAATATTATCATAAATTTTATTATTCAGATTTAATGTACAAAAAACGTTGCTTTTTAAATATAATTGTTTAACAATTTCTTCATATATTTATAAAATTTGAAATTAATAAAGCAAATTTTTTGATGTTAGTTTTTTAGAAAGTAAAATAATATTGAAGAAAATATAAACCACGAAGTAGATATAAACGCATATAAAATTTTTTGTCAACTGTGTCAGTTCCTAAATATTGTATATTTATTAATTTACTAGTAATATTTAATTCAATATTATTATTTTTATAGTTATTATCGTTTTTAACCTTTAAACTGATACGTGCCGAAAAATCACACTAACTGATTTCACCGGTCTGTCAGACCGCTATTCCTTTTTTATGTTATTTTATTGATTTTAAATTTTGTAAAGTCAATTGTTGTATATATTTTTTATTTTTTATGATTAAAAAGTCAATTTCTATATTGTTTCGTTTTAATTTTTTTATTTTTACATAATTTAGAACGCTTTAAAAAAACGCTTTAAAAAAAAGTTATAAGCGATGAAAGTTTTAATAGCGGTCTGTCAGACCGCTAAATCAGTTTAAAGGTTAATAGTAGGTGCCGTTCACTGTAGACTGTACCTTTTACTCTATAGTCCATAAACTACGTTACCAATTTTTCATTTTTTTTAGACCACCTTCCCCCCCCTTAAAATAGGTAACGTAGTTTATAGACGGCCCCCTATTAATAATTTTTTAAATAAAACTCGAAATTTTCAAATAAAAACTAGACTTCTGTCGCAATTTTTAATATTTTTCATTGCCGATTTTTTGATACACTTTTTTATGATTCTGAAAAATCTAATCGTATGGATTTTGAAAAAATTCAAATTTTTTCAAAAAATAAAATTTCTAAAAAGAAAAAAAAAAATTGTAAAATTGTTAAAAATTACTCTTTTTTATTTTTCATAGTAAAATTAAATTTCAGGTTCTAAAATTTTTTTTTTTTAAATTGTTACACATAAATCAAACCATAATTATGTTTGGTTTAAATTTTATCAATTATTCTTGAAATATTCAACTTTTTCCACAATTTATATTATTTTTTAATTGGCAATTTTTTTGTAGGCTTTTTTTCATCATTCTAAACAATCAATCCGGTAGATTTTTAAAAAATTTAATAGGTATTTAAAAAAAATCAAATTTCTAAAATAATAAAAAATTTTTTTTTTTAATTTTGATAATTCATTATAATTTTAGATATTAAATAAAGACAGAAAAAATCGGACAAGTGCGAGATACACTCGCATTAAAACCGAAGGTTCCGTACCCTTAAACCTAAAATTTGAGGGGGTTAAAGTATGAAGGCCCATGGGCAAATTCCAATTTTGCTTAATTTTTCCTGTAATTTGAGTATGAAAACATATAGATAGACACATACACCGAAAGTTATCAGTTTTTCCTTGAAAACGCTATGATAATCAACTCCAATCGTTCTCGCTATATTTTTTTGTAATCTACACGTAAAAATGTATAAATTTGAATCCCTTAAGATAAAATTTTCTTCTATTTTTATTCGAAAAATCCATGATTTTTTCTAAAAATATGAGTTTTACTTAAAAACAATATGATTATCAACTCCAATTGTGGTCGCTATATTTTTCCTGTAATCATGTTAGTTTGGATATGAGTGTCGCGTGAACAACAAGTTTCTTATATTTTTAATATATATATATTTTTAATTTTGTATTAAACCAAGTCCACTTCACAGCAATTTTTAGAGGCCTACCCTACCGAAGTCAATTTTGAAAATAATTTTGGGGGATAATATTTGTTGCTTTCAATTAGGTACAAAGAAAAAGTAATAGTAATATAAATTTATCAATTTAAAACGAAATTTTTATAAGTAAAAGTTAAAATATACTTTAAAAACATGAAATATTATTGAAAAAAAGTTCTTTGAAATAATGTATTAAAAATACTTTAGATTATAAAAATTAAATATTACTTATATGCATTCTAATAATATTATTTAAGTAATTTTAAAATAGAACTTTAAAAATTGTCATATTTAAACAATTGTACAATAAGAATTATTATCAGTAATTAATTAATTAAATAGAATTTATTTTATAATAAAAATTAAATATATTATATCGGTGATTCTCCCAGAACATTACTTTTTCATGTCCTCATGTTTCTCTCAATATTTTTAATAATTAATGAAATTGTCAAAGCATATTTCATTAGTTTATTACTTTTTCTAAAAATTTTAGAAGAAACAATTGTATATTTTAATAAGTTACAGGGCAGCTGAGAATGACTGATTTTAAAATTCCATTTTTCTTGATTTTACAGTCCATTTTTAACAAAATTCCAGACCCAAATAATAGATCTATTTTAAGGGCAAGTCCAACACGTGAAATGTAAACAAACATGAAATGTAAACAAACCACGCACATTTTTTCGCACTTCTCATTTGTGTAGAAAATAAAAATTTGTCGTTTTCTTTATAAAAATGGTAAATTAATGTATTAAACTTGGTAACTATACTTTATTTAACTAATTATATGAAAAAATAAGTACAATTATAATGAAATGAAAAGTACACTGAATTAGCAATTTTTTCAAGGTTTTGAAAAAAAAACCTCTAAGGCACAGACGTTGAGCACCTAGGTGGGAGAAAGAGTTGAGCCATTGGACGGGCACATCTTGGAAAGGGTAAAATTATGAAATTTTACCCTTCCTCTCACTTTCTCCCACCTAGGTCCTCAACGTTATTGGGATCTGACATTCGTACACATGCCATCTGGTGTTGAAAAATGTAACTAGTTTTGGATAACTGTTTGTGTCACTTGCAATTGTAGTTCCGCTGTCATTGTTAATTATTTTATCATTATGAATGAAGCTACATTTTTACCGCGTGAGAAATCTTCCTGCAGAATTAAGTGTTCTGTGAGAGGCTGTGGCAGTACTGTAGCGAAAAATTTAAGCGTAATTTTCCGTAAATTTCCGAAACCAAAACAACGAGTAGTTGATGTGAAAATACGTTCGATAATTTTGAAAAAGTCGATCAATTAAAGGCCTGGAAAAATGCTTTAAAAATAAACAGTATAAAGCCTTCTATGAGAGTATGTTCTCTGCATTTCAAAATAAGTGATTACATTTTGCCAGGTAAATTTAAGATTTTAAAATTTGGAGGTTATATAATCTTTCATATTACCCGTGCATGTGAACATTTTGAAAGTTAATTTATCACTGTAAAAACGGATAAATAAATTTTTTTTCAGTTCTTGTTAACAGACTTTTACAATGAAAAATGAAATACATACATTTATAAATTTTCATATAATTTCATGAAATATAAAGGAAAATACAATACTTTTCTTGCACATGTATCGCTGGATTTGAGAAAATAATTTGTATAAAAATAAGATTTCTTTTATATTTTTATTCATGTTTGTAAATAGGAATGTAAATAGTAATTTTGTATTAAAAAAATTCACTTATACATTTATTAAATTAAGCAATATTTTTTAAACGATTTAGTTCTATTGCATCCCATGTTATTCCCATGTAAATTCACTAAAAGTGTTACCCAATTTACGCCATATTGCTTTAGGCCCCGCCCCCATGTCAGATGAATGCATAAATTTTTCGTAACCTTGAAAAAATTTATATTTCAGTGTACTTTTCATTTCATTATAATTATACTTATTTGTTCACATAATTAGTTCAATAAAGTATAGTTACCTAGTCTAATATATAAATTTACCATTTTTACAAAGAAAACGACAAATTTTTTACTTTTTATTCAAATGAGAACTGCG